ACTGTGCCTTTCTCTTCATTGGAGCTCAACTACTCAAATTCTAAGGGCTCTGTCACTCTGCCTCTCAAATAGATGAATTAAAAAGATGCAGCAGGCATTGTGTTTTTGGGTTGAAGAGCCACTCAGGATACTTGCATTCCATTTTAGAGTTGTGGTTCAAGTCCTGGCTACTCCCTTTCCAATCCAGCTTCTTGATGATGTGCATTCTAGGAGGCAGCAGATGATGGCCCCTGCCACCTATGTGGGAGATGTGGATGGAGTTCTGGGCTCCTGGCTTCTGCCTGGCCTAGCCCTGAAAGTTGCAGGCATTTGAGGAGTGAACTAGTAGATGGAAGAGCTCTCTACCTTTAGGTAGATGAAATTTTTAAAATTTTATTTATTTATTTATTTACAAACTCTAGAGTTCGTTTTCTGATGAAAGCAACAGCGCACTCCAGTTTAGAGAATAGCAGAGGGCAGGCTCATTGGGCACATTGCTTCCAGGAGCTCATTGCTATGAACACTCCTAAATTCTTTTTTAAGGCTAGACATGGCCTGGTGGGGGTTATGGAGACCACAGATGACTTAGGTCCTGGAGGTCTTAAATTCCAAGTGCAGTACCTGGCATGTAGGCACCAAGTGCCCATGTCAGTCTCTGGGCTCTTTCACCTGATAGAGAATAGAGGCCCAGTCCAGGTCTTGCTTCCACTTCAGATTGGGCCTGGGTTTCTAGCCAAGTGATCCACTCTGGCTGACCCAACCACAAGGGAGGCAGATCTGGAAGCTCCTCAATGCCCAGCATGGTGCTGTCCTCCCTGACCTGCTGACCTGGAATCAAGGCTGAATGGGGATTTGCAGGCAGGAAGATGCTGGCCTTTTACCCCTGCCATCCCTCCCCATCCCACCCTAGCCAACTTGCCATCACACTTGCCTCATCTTGGGGTCACAGGCGCCAAAGCCCTGAGTTCCCACTCCTAACTAACCTTCACTCTGGCATCAAACTGGCTGAGACAGTGTTCAGATACTGGCTTTCCACTCAGTCACTCACCTAAGGCAGGGCACTGAACCTCTCTGGGACTGTTTGTACGTAAAAATGGGTATAGTTTCCTAATTGTTTAACAATCAGCAATGCCCCTGAAGCTAATGCTAGCTTATCTGTAAACCCTCACTCCTCCTGGAGACACTAGGCCATTCTCTACAACAAGGAAAGGGAGCCTGAAAAATCAATGCTGTGACAAAAGCCCCTGCCAAGTGTTAATGCAACTTTTTGTTGGCCATATATACTATTGAAGCTATCAAAATCTGTACAGTATTTATAAATTGAATAATTACCTGAAAAAAATATTTTATGCATACAATTGCCATGTAGCACAATGAGTTTTTTTTTTTTAATCTATCCAACACAGGAAAGTCCAAGAAATTTCTAACCTTCAAATTATATCATTCTGTGATCCTATGGATTTCCCTCTAGATGCCATGTAAAAAAATTATCCATAAAAGCAAACAAAAAACTCTGAGTTTGGAAGGTTGAAATGAAACTGGAAATAGTACCTATTGCTGGTGCATAAATTGATATAATCCATTTGGAAAAAATATATAGCAACATAAAATGAATCATAAAAATGTTCATACTCTGTAATAAACCACCAATCTCACTCCTGGGAATTTATCCTATACAAGTTATTCAACAGAAGACAAAAAACTATATATATACAAATACTCATTGCAGCATTGTCTCTGACAGTAAAGAATACAATAAGAACAAAAGTATGAAAGCAATACACAGGAAAATGGCTTAGTAAATTATAGTATATGGTGACAATAAATTACTTTTCAGCTGTTAATAGTAAACATGAAGACTAGGTAGTGTAACACAGAAAAATGTCATGGTATTAAATGAAAAGCAGAACACAAAAGGATGTGTTTACTATGATCATCAACTTTGTAGATAGCTATACTGTTTAGACAAAAGCTGAAAGGTGACATTCAGACATGGAAACAGTGGGGCTGGCACTGTGGTGCAGCAGGCTAAGCCCCAGCCTACAACACCAGCATCCCATATGGGCAACCAGTTCAAGTCCCAAATGCCAGTTTGAGTCCTTGGTGCTCCACTTCCAATCCAGCTCTCTGCTAATGCGCCAGGAAAGCAATGGAGGATGTCCCAAGTGCTTGGGTCCCTGCACCCACGTGGGAGACCTAGATGAAGCTCTTGGCTCCTGGTGTCAGCCTGACCCAGTCCTGGTTGTTGTAGCCATTTGGGAAGTGAGCCAGCAGATGGAAGATCTCTCTCTCTCTCTCTCTCTCTCTCTCTCTCTCTCTCCCTCGCTCCCTCGCTCCCCCCACCTTAACTCTGCCTCTCAAATAAATAAATCTTTAAAAAAAATTATTCATTTATTTGAAAGGCAGAGAGAAGGAGAGACAGAGTTCTTCCATCCACTGGTTCACTCCCCAAATGGCCACAATGGCTGGAGCCAGGAACTTCTTCTGGGTCTCCCATGTGAGAGCAGGGCCCAAGCACCTGGGCCATGTTTCACTGTTTTCCCAGGCCATTAGCACGGACCTAGATCAGAAGTAGAGCAGCTGAGACTTGAACCAGTGCTGCAGGTGGAGGCTTAACCTACCATGCCACAGTGCTGGCCCCAATAAATAAATTTAAAAAAAAAGTATGATAGGATAACATGATTTCAGAATTTCTTTAATGTACTATCTTTTCTATTACATATGCTTTTTCTAATTTTTTTGAAATAAATTTGGATTTCTGAATTTATTTCTAGTTCTTAGAACAGAAACCCTAGCTCTTCCCATCTTAAATTAACAATCCTCTACTTGAAAAAGGAAAGCAACATAATACTTCCCAGCATCCAAATGTAAAGATGGAGAGCAGGAAAACAGGGCTGGATCCTCCCATAGTGTTGCTGCTATCTGAAGGACTGATGATAAACTCAGGAACCCAGAGAGAAGCCCGCCAAATCCCACTTCAGGGTGGCAGGATGTGCCCAAGGGCACCTGAAGAGACACCTAGGGCAGCAAAAAATGTCAGCCCTATATTTACATGTCTCACCAGGCTGCTGTCTGCCTTCATCTCCCTTCTGCTCATTGCACGGGTGCTTTCTGAGGCCCCCTCTCAGCGCAATGCCTGAGATATCACAAGGCCATGCTCTGTGTCAGAAGAGACGTCATAGAGAAGGATGCCATCTGAAGCCACACCCTGTGTGCCTGATGAGAGGGACAGGTCATTTAATGCCTATTATTTGGCTGTTATTCAACTTCAAGAGATAGCGGTCAGCTTTGCTGCTCTCTCAGAAAGCCTAGGGCACTCGCAATTCCCTGGAGATCAAATCATTGATGAGAAAAATGTCAGGTGACCATGGAACCCAACTTGGAGCAGTGGGTCTACTCAGGAAGGCCTCTGTTCAGCCAGTCGCCAGAGGGACAACATATAGCTCTTCTATAAGCAAGGAACCTGGCAAACTACCCAGAGTGTTCTACCACCCAGATCTCTACCTGTACTCCTTGCACAGTTTTGACTTGCTCTAGCCACAGTTAAAATACATCTCATGGTTAACCTTTCATCCCAAGACTCTGGCTGGCTTACCTCCATTGACAGATCAACTGCTTGAGGGCAGTTTCCAGGTAGCTCAGCTCATTCCTGATGCACTTGCTGGCGGGTTTTGACATCAAATAGAGAATGATCTCTTCTTAGACCTTGTCCCCACACTCTCAAGACCCCTCTTTCTGCTGGACACAAGCAGTTTATGATTAAGGTTGAAGGGGTGATACAGACCATCATGCTGTGAGGTCAGAGAGGGGAGTGGTCACTGGGATAAAAGCAGAGGAGATACACAGACAGAAGACTACAGGCTAGGCTCAAACTCTGACTGTGACCTCTAGTAAGTCACTCAACTCTTCTGTACCTCAGTTTTCTTAAACATGAGACTGGTAGTACTAAACTCTCAGGCAGAGACATTTTGCAAATTCAAAGATGCTCTGAAAATACTGGCTATTATCACTTTGAACTAGAATGTTCTTGGAAGAAGAATAAGGTGGGCCTCAAAGGTTGAAGATTTGGGATATGTGGTTAGGAAGAGGATGAGCACTCCAGGCATGAGAAATGACCCACACAGCGGCAAAAAATGCAGGAGGGATGGCCCAAGTATGGTTGCCGCAAAATGCCAGCATAGGGGAGGAGCTGAGGTAAGATTGGAAAGGCAGGGACTGTACTGTTGGTAAGAGGGGCCTATTGAATTAAGTACAAGAATGAAAGTCACCTAACACCAACCTGGCGGAGGTAAGGACAGGGATTGGAGGAGGGTTAGAATGCAAACTACAGATGTTACAAACTCCAGACAGGAGACATTAGGAGGGCCTGAATGAAGGCAGTAGTACTAGGACTTAAAAGGAGGATGTGGGGGCCATCACTGTGGCAAGGCAGGTTAAGTTCCTGGCTTCCAGCTTTGATCTGTCTGGACCTGATGTCGTGACCGTTTGGGGAGTCAATCAGTGGATGGAAAATCTGTCTCCCTGTCACTCAGCCTTCCACATAAATAATAAACCAATCAACATTTTCTTTCAACAATTATTTAAGAGGAACTCCAGCCCACAGCAACCCCGGAGCGCTCAAGGAATGTGATCTGGTAAGGAAGACCAGTGTAGCTCCCTAAGGATCTAAGAGCTGCGTATTAAGCGGCTTAGTGAGAAACCAAGGCCGAAGGATCAGAGAAGTTTCAGGGAAGATGCTTGCATCGGGCCTGGGTTGGGCAGTGGCTCTCTGTACAGAGGAGGGGGTCACAGCACGTCAAGTCGGGTTGGGAGAAAACGTAACATGGCTTAAAAAGTACTGAGACGGGGCCCCTGAAGCACAGCACACTGTCTCAACTACAAGGAGAGCGCATGGCCAAAGGAGAAAGGGGTGTGCGCGAGGGCGTCCCCGAGGCGGCAGAGGCAGAGTGTCTCGCGCCTCCTCACCATGGCCCCGAGACAACCAACCAATGTTACCAGGCCCGAACAGAACACTAAGAGCAGGGGAGACAGGAGGGACCGCTCCACGCAGAGGCATCTGGTGAGGAGCGGAGGCACACGGAGGCCCTCCGGCTCTGCCCAGGCGGCTCCTGGGCCAAGGTGGCTCCCGGGCCACTTAGGTCGCGGTGGCGTGCGCCAAGGCGCCCCGACGCCCCACATTTTCAACAGCTCTCACCCGAGAGCCTGGTACAACCAGCAGCACAAAGGAAAGCAGGAAGAGGAAGCAGTCACCCGCCCGCGAAACCCGCGAGACCGAAAAGGCCCCGCCCCGCCCCCTCCCTGGCCGGACGTGAGGCGCTTGGCCCCGCCCCGTGCTCGTTACCTCGCGAGATTTCGCGCAGGCCTCCCTCTTTCGTCTCGGCAGCCGACATGGTAGGTGGGCCCTTTCTTGCCTCCGCTTCCTTGCCGGCCGGGGTTTCGCGCTCTTCTTCCATCGCTCCGCGGCCACCTACTCCGGACGTTGGCCAAGTTCTCCTGGCAGCGCATGGTCGACCGGAGAGCAGGATGGCGGGCGTGAGCCTGAGGCGGAGCTGGGAGCCTGGGGCCGCGTGTCCGGCCAGGGGCTCGAGTCTCGAGCTGCTGCACGCGGGCCGGGGTGCGGCCCCGGGCGAGACTGCAACTTCAGCTTTGCCGAACTTGCTAGAGAGCAGGCCCTTGTCCCCCCAGGCCTGCCGCCCTCTCAGGGTGCCAGGCATTGGCCCCCGCTCTCTTTCCTTCGGCCTTACCACCGGGATCTTTTTCCCACACAGCCATCCAGACTGAGGAAGACCCGGAAACTGCGCGGCCACGTGAGCCACGGCCACGGCCGCATCGGTAAGTACCGGCTTCCCCTGCTGATCGGCCTGGGCGCGCGCTTTTCGAGTGGGATAGGTAGCTTTAGAAGTCGAGTTGTACGGACCAGCCGGGCTCCCTTCCCCAAGGTCTCCTAGTAATCCGGTTTTAGAGAATTTAGTACCGGTAAGGAATAGGAATGAGCGGGGCGCAGTCCGGAGTCAGTTGCAGACGTGGACTGTTGGGGGAGTGCTGTGGTTGGGACGCAGTCCTGAAGGAGCAACAAAGAGGGCTTGTGGGCTGGGAGCAGCGGCGTGGAGTGTGGGGAAATGTTCTGTGTCTGCGGGTCTGGGGGAGGCTGGGTTGGCCAGGTAGCTTTGTGCTTTTGCAGGCAAGCACCGGAAGCACCCAGGAGGCCGAGGTAATGCGGGTGGCATGCATCACCACAGGATCAACTTTGATAAATAGTAAGTGTTCATAGGCCGTGCTTTCCCTGACTCGGAAGTGTCGGGCCGGGCGGGACTGGCAGTAAGGAAGCAGGCATCCATAGCTCACAAACCGAGGTAGCTGGGGAAAGCGAGAACCGGTCATCGAGGCTAGAGTCACGCTTGGGTATTGGCTGTTGCCTTAGTGTGCTAGAGTCCTCGAAGAGTAACTGCTGACCTTATTCACTGGCTGTGGGCCTCATGGCACAGTCAGTCACCAGGTTAGTGACATACTTCAGATCGACCTCTGCAACTGTTAGGTCCCCTTGTGCTTAGTGTTTTCACATTCTCCCGTGGAACGCTGTTGTGGGCCTCAGTGACTTTGTGCTCCATGAAAATAAGGCTAGCCTTTTCCACTTGATATTTAATTCAGCAACTGTATAAACTGTATAAAGCCAGTCACTCCACCAGTGAACAGTTTGACACTGTAGTGGGGGAAGGTAAGAAAGATGATCCAGATTAACTTCTTACCTGCAGCGCGCTTATAAAGGTGGTGCTTTCTCTTCCTAGTCACCCAGGTTACTTCGGGAAAGTTGGCATGAGGCATTACCACTTAAAGAGGAACCAGAGCTTCTGCCCAACTGTCAACCTTGATAAGCTGTGGACATTGGTCAGTGAGCAGACACGGGTAAATGCTGCCAAGAACAAGACTGGAGCTGCTCCTATCATTGATGTGGTGCGGTCGGTGAGTGAATTGGATCCTTCTTACTGCTCGTTTGTAGTTCTACCTCCCATGCACAAGGCACTCTGGCTTAATCTTACTAGGTCTCCCACCTGAAAATCTAAACCTATACTTAATTTCCAGTTACCTACTAGATAATTCAACCTTCTGGTGGAACTGCCATGGTTAATTATGACCAAATGGAAGGCCCAGCTATATTAGTTAAGACCTCCCCAAACAGGCACTGGTGTGCCATTGGGGAGCTGTGGTCCTTGTAAGTAGGGAGGCAGAGGCTGAGTGTCTTCACAGCCTCTACTGTCTGTTGAGCAACTTTGGTGGTCAAGACTTGGAACATATTCGGAATGTGATTTTGTTTCTGTTTATTGGTAATAATTGGCCAGCAAAGGGAGGTTTGTGCCTTGCCGAGACTAGAGTCACATCCCGACACAACCCTTGTCGTGGTGTGCTAGCGTCCTCGGAGAGAATCTGCTGGTCTTGATTCACTGGTGGGGCAGCCAGTGCCCGCGTTAGTGCCCAGATCAGAAACATGCCTCCCTGGTCCTGGGAAGGGTGGGTTCAGGGGCATCTTACTTGAGCGCATCAGGAGTTGGCGCCCGCTTTGCAATACTCTAAACCTTCTTCTCTTCCTGCAGGGCTATTACAAAGTTCTGGGAAAGGGAAAGCTCCCAAAGCAGCCTGTCATCGTGAAGGCCAAATTCTTCAGCAGAAGAGCTGAGGAGAAGATTAAGGGCGTGGGGGGAGCCTGTGTCCTGGTGGCTTGAAGCCACGGTTCATTAAATGCTAGCAAATGCTTTTCCCTGGTGGTCTGAATGTAGGTTCTTTGACTTCACATCCCTGTCCCTGCCGGAACCCACCTTACAGCATCCAGGCATTCGAGGTATGCAGAGCCTGGGTTACTGCTAACCCACCTCAGTGCTACCAACAGCACTTACAGGCACTGTGGTTAAACTTTTTCATTTGTGAAGTGAAACTGATAATCTACCCTAATTGAAAAGCATTGTGACTCAGTTTCAAGGGTTACTTAGGAGAGGGAGAGGTATCTTCCCTTTTTTTTTTTGAAAGATTTATTTGAAAGTCAAGAGTTACACACAGAAAGAGGAGAGGCAGAGAAAGAGAAGTCTTCCATTGGCTGGTTCACTCCTCAAATGGCTGCAGCGGCTGGAGCTGTGACGATCCGAAGCCAGGGTCTCCCACGCGGACGCAGGGGCCCAAGGACGTGGGCCATCCCTACTGCTTTCCCAGGGCATAGCAGAGAGCTGGCACAGAGCAGGAGCAGCCAGGACTCCAACTGGCGCCCATATGGGATGCCATTGCTTCAGGCCAGGGCGTTAACCCACAGTGCTGGCCCCAAGGTATCTTCCCATTCACTGGGTCACTCCCAAATGGTTGCTGTGTCCAGGGCTAGCCCAGGCTTAAGGTCGTGAGCCCAGAACAACCCATCATCCACTGCTTTCCCAGGCACATTAGTAGGGAGCTGGGTTGGGTCAAGAATCCAAACAGGACTCCTTTGTGCTCTTTTTAAGTAGATTTTATTTATTTGATAGGTAGAGACAGGGAGAGAGAAAGGTCTTCCATCCACTTACTCACTCGCAAATAGCCACAAGAGCTGGGCTGATCCACAACCAAGGCCTCTTCCAGGTTCCCCATGCAGGTGCAGGGGCCCGAGCACTTGGGCCATACTCTGCTGCTTTCCCAAGCCACAGCAGAGAGCTGGATCTGAAGAGCAGCAGCCAGTGCTGCAGATGGAGGCTTAGCCCACTATGCCACAGCACCAGCCCCACTTAAGACTGCTCCTCAAGTGTCTGTAGTGGCCAGGCCCGAGCCAAATTCAGGCATTGGGAAGTTAATTTGGGTTTCTTTTATGTGGTTGGTAAGATCCTGCTACTTGAGCCATAGTTACCTGTTGCCTCCAAGGGTGAGCATTAGCAGGAAGCTGGAATCAGGACTTCAACCCAATATAGATGAGCATATAGTACCCCCTGAGCCAAGCACCAGCTCCAGGGCTTTTTATGTCAAAGTGGCTTGGATTTCAGAAGATAGTCCTATCTCAGAAAACTGGGAAATCCTTGTCTTTGGGAATCTGGTTTTCTTAGGTTTACTATCCGCTGTATTAAAGACCATGGTGACGTCTGACCAGTGCATGGAATTTCAACATGAATTATAATTTGTGGTTTTAACAGTTCTTCCTGAGTTTGTGTTTTTTCTTTGGCCTGAATAAGACTTGTAGTTTAAAACACTGGGCAAGTAATTAAGATGTAATTTAATACTGCTAGGTGTTGGTGAGTTCTTTCCTTAGAGGGCTTATATATTACATACATGGACTGGAAGCCATGATTATGGGACAAGACTGTCAACCCCTAAAGTCTGTTGGGTTCAGATCCAAAGAAACAGAAAAGAACTGAATTGCATTGGCTTGAAAAAAATGGGCAACAATTACAAAGAGTCAGAAAGCTTGAATGATCTTGAAACCGGGTTGTTTGAGATTCTGTCTGCCATTAGGCTAGTGATAACGGACTCTTAAATGTTTCAGAGGACTTACAGAGCAACCAATGGGTCTAACAGATGGTTGTATTTGGTTTTTGGTCATCAGCTATTTGACTTAAGGCCTACTCAAGTTTCCTCATGTTTAAAATGTGGGACTAAGTAAAAATATCTCAGGAGATGGCCTTGTGGTTTAGTGGGTTAATCTGCTGCCTGCAGTGCTGGCATCCCATATGGCACTGGTTTGAGTGCTAGCTGCTCTACTTCCAATCCAGCTCTGTTACGGCCTGGAAAAGCAGTGGAAGATGGCCCAAGTGCCTGGGTCCCTCACCTACATGAGACAGAATAAGCTCCTGGCTTCTGGCTTCAGATCAGCCCAGCTCCAGCCATTGAGGCCATTTGGGGAGTGGACCAGCAGATGGAAGACCTCTGCCTTTCAAATCTTTTTGTTTTGTTTTTAAAAAATCTCAACGGTGTGAGAAGTCAGTAACTTCATGTGATCTTAATGAGTCCAAGCAGAATGAACATAAGATGGGTTGTGGGGAATGGATTTGCAAGGATGAGGTAAACAGGAAGTTCTGTCAGAAAAAGCTCAGTGGGAGGCTAGTTAGGAGACCTAGAAAATAAGATTTGAGCATGGAAAAGGGTAGGGTTCAGAAGGCTTAGTGGACGGAGCTCAGTAGCTGGGTGGATTGGACGGCAGTTGGTCCTGTGTTTAGACATGAAGAGTGAAGCTTTGGTACAGGTGATTGCAGATCTCGCTGGCTAACAAATTCACCAGGAATTCACTGCTGGTCGGCTTCCCTTAGGAGCACAGCTGTAAATAGGACATGGAGTGGGATATGCTGGATCCTGTGTGGAGGGTGTAGATGGTGCCTGGCAGAAAAATCAAAATTCGTCCTGTTGCCTTAACTGGGAAGGGCATCAGCATCTTAACACTAATGCTCAGTTTTGCTCCTCGTTCCTCGATAGGAACCTAAGTGTGTAGCAGACCTAGAATGCCACTTGTATTTATGGGACTAGAAGCAAACCTTAACACTGATTTTGTGTGTCCGTTTACTGGAAGGCACCACTGCTTCTGCTTAGAAAATAGTAACCTCTATGAACTCATTCACTAATATTTTCATGACACTAGCCTGCCCTGTGGCATGCACAGGGTTGATGAAGTCCTGCAGGCTAAGCATTAGGCCCTTCAATTCGGTGTCCCACAAGTACAGGTTCCTCACCTGCTACAGCTTAGCGTGCTGGGTAGACCTAGTTACAGAGGACAGACTAACGTTCCACCGGCCGATTCACTCCCCAAATGGCCACAACTATCTGGGGTAGGCCACACTGAAGCCAGGAGCCAGGAACATCTCCCACGTGGGGCCCAGGGACTTGGGCCTCTTCCACTTTCACAGACGCATTAACGCGTCCATATGGGATGCAGGTGTCACAGGCCAGGGCTTTACCTGCTTGCGCCACGATGTCTGGCCCGAAGCCCAATTGTGTTTGAATTACAAATTATGTACCTTCTAGCCTAGTGTGCGCGTTCTTTGTATCTCAGTGGCTGGCGTTTAGCCTGGTCCCATACTCCACAGCTTTCTGCTAGTGCATGCCTGAGAGGCAGCGGTGAAGGCCCAACTAGTTCGGATTCCAGCTCCGGGCTTTGCGCCGCCCCCAACCCCATCCCAGCCCTTGCCGTTGCTAGTAGCTAGGGATGAAAGCGCTCAATAGTCTTGAGAAAGTTTTTTCTCCAGATTTGAGGGCACAAACAACTCGGTTTACGGGAAATGTCGGCCGCATAATTCGCGAACCTGTCCTTGGCTACGTCACTTTTAAGTGGATGTCAGAGCAGCCGCCTCCTGGGACGGAAACGCGTGGAAAGCGTCCGCTTGCGGATGCCCCGTCTGCTCACGTTACAACAGGAGTCTTCTGGGGCCGCAGACGGCTAGGACTCGACTGGTCTGCGACACGACACTTCAGCAGTACAGGAACCAGACCCACCAGGGCGCGGGTATTGCCCCGCCTCGGCCCGTGAGAACCACTTCCGGGGTGTGTGGCTCTGGTTCCGGGGCATTTTGACCTCCTCCCCGACCGGAAGCACGACCGACGTCATCGTCAGCCTCCCGCTCGGCCACTTCCGGGGAAGAGCGGGCGGGGCTGGCCCTCGCGGAAGAGGGCGGGGCTGGCTGTCCCAGACAGAGCGGGCGGTTTGAGTGGCAGTGCACTTCCAACCGCTTCAAGGTGGGCTTAGGTGCGGTGGCGTGGTAAGAGTGTCAATTTTGGGGGCCGGCGGAGTGGCGTAGTGGGCCAAGTCTCCGTCTGCCGCGCCGGAATCCCGTATGGGCGCCGGTTCGTGTTCCGGCTGTTCCTCTTGGGATCCAGCTCTGGGTTGTGGCCTGGGAAAGCAGTGGAAGATGGCGAACTATTTGGGCCCCTGCACCCACGTGGGAGACGCAGAAGAAGCTCCTGGCTCCTGACTTCAGATGGGCTCAGCTCTGGCCATTGAGGCCATCTGGGGAGTGAACCATCGGATGGAAGGCCTCTCTCTCTCTCTCTCTCTCTCTCTCTCTCTCTCTCTCTCTCTCTCTCTCTGCCAAAATCTTTAAAAAGAAGGTGTGAATTATGTGCCAGGGCACCTTAGGCGAAAAAGAAAACGCCTGTACACGCATTAAGTGTTGTGGGAGAACCTAAGACAAATGGGATTTCCTCTTAGTTTTGGGAGCTGAGGGAGATGAAATATGTTTTGGCGTAGTTTGAGTTTCTTGTTTAACCAAATTTATATTCATCATATTAAAAGGCAATACAAATGGACCAAAAAGTTTTTAAAGCTTATCAGAAACTTGCCAATTCTGAAAAGTAGTAGCACAGGGTCCTCATAAAAGATGATTAGGCATGGACTTAATCGATCTTTTGTGCCAAAACAAACTCTTTTAATTCCACTTTTTAAGCACCCTCATATTTTAAAGAGAAAGGTTTCAAAGTTCACCAAAAGAGGAATTTACACCTGTATACCCTGTGATCTGACAGTGTGTCTGAGAGTTTTTTTGAGCCACATTAAAAGGTGAGGGAGACATGGGGAGAGAGAGTGAAAGCACCTTTTAGGAACTGTTCATTATTTAGTCCGCTTTAGGGACAGGCGTTGCACAGTGGATTATGCCACCTTAATTCCTGGCTGCTCTACTTCTGTTCCAGCTTCCTTCTAATGTGCCTGGGAAGGCAGCAGAAGATGGCCCAAGTGCTTCAGCCCCTTCCACACATGTGGGAGACCTGGATGGGAGTTCTGGGCTCCTGACTTTGGCCTGGTCCAGACCTGGCTTTGAAGCCATTTAATGAGTGAACTAGCAGATGGAACATCTCTCTCTCTGTGTATGTGTCTCTCACAATGCCTTTCAAACAAATCTTTTTTTAAAGCCTACTTTTAGAACTTACCATGAAGCCCAAGGATGAGTAAACAGGTATGAATTTTGGAGATAACTACACTAAATTCTGAATTTTCTGGTTACAATCTGTCTTCTCTCTACCCCAACTAAAAAGCCACATTCAGGGGCCGGCGCGTACACTGCCAGCATTCCATTTGAACGTGGGTTCAGGTCCCAGCTGCTCCACTTCCAATCCAGCTCTCTGCTATGGCCTGAGAAAGCAGCAGAAGTGCTTGGGCCCCTGCGCACATGTGGGAGACCCAGAATAAGCTCCAGGGTCCTGGCTTCAGATTGGCCCAGCTCCGGCCACTGTGGCTATTTGGGAAGTGAACCAGTGGATGGAAGACCTTTCTCTAACTCTCTGCCTTTCAAATAAATTAAAAAACACAAGAAACAAACCCACATTCATAAGGCCTCAAAATCCCTGCCCTCCTATTCCTAGCAAATACCCAAAGTGTAGGAGGCTTTTTCAGAGATGACTTCATCTTCCCAGAAACCAGACTGCTTTATCAGGGAGTTTGAGGATGGCACTGGCTTCAGTGGGGATGGGGAAAAGAAGTAAACTCAGGATGAAATTATCTGCCATTTAAACGGGCTAGGGTGGAAGCATAGGCAAACGTGATTCCACAGTTGAAATCTTACCTGACCCATTGTCAGTGAAGAGAGCCCCAGCTTAATGCCTTACCTTTGGGAGTTTTTTCAAGGTCTCTGTTCTACCTAAGACCTTACAACCGTTATTCTCCACCCTGCTGCTTTCTTCCATGAAATGTGGAAGAACTTTCTGTATGCAAACCTAGAGTGCCAATGAAAAATGCTACCCATAGAGTGACATCAAAGAGTCACAGGCAGTGGGGTGAGGGCTCTGACCAAGTCCTGGGGTTGGCAATAGCTGGGCTTCACTACACCAGAGTCAGGATACCCAACGATGTCTTAAAGGCTCCAGACGGGGTAGGAAAATGTTCAGATTCACCTAATGATGGGGGAGTTAGAGGGAAAAGAACATTTTTTCCCATCAGTAGAAATACGTTAGAGTCTTAATAGCTGGCTGTTGGAGAGGGAGCTGAACTAGGACAGCGAATACCAGTCATACAGATCAGTCCAGAGAACTCAATTCAGGGGAGATCAGTGACCCATACAGAAGCAAACACCCTTAATCAAGTACTTAGTTCCCTGCATGATGGGGCTTCATACCTGATATGCCTTTCTCAGCCCATTCCCTGGAGAGAGAACTCAAGAAAATGAGGCCAAAGGACATGTGGAACTCTGGGCCCAAACAACTGTACACTGTTTATTGAGAACACCCGTAGAAGGTGGGAAGGAGGGATGCCCTGTACCGCATCATGGCCACCACTGACCCAGAGCTGGGCCCAGAGAGCACTGGCAGAGCTGGAGGGTGGGCTTCCCATGACTCACTGACCATCTCAGAAGGTGGAGGAACAGAAGGGCCCAAGAGCCTCGGCACTATGCTGCAAATGGAGACTGACTGGCTTCTGCCTTTCAAAACTGAGGGTTAGGAGAGGGGGGCTCCTAGGGAAAAAATAGAAAATCTAAGACAAAAAAAAAAATTGTCTTCCTGTGCATCACAAGACAGCGCCTGCTCTCCAGGACCCGAGACTGGCAGCGGGGGCCACAGGCAGGCAGGCCAAAGCCTCCAGGAAAGATCAGTGGTTTGGCCGAGACAGTCAGCTGCACATAATTGGCCAGTCACCAGCACCCAGTGACACTTCATCCATGCTCAGGCCGGGCAGGAAAGCACCCGGCCCCTTGGGAATAAACAAATATTTACCAGATTCTTTTTGCTTGTTACAAAACAGTTAAGAAAGCTTACAGCAGATTATTTACAAACAGTATCCTGGGATATCGTGGAGGCAGAGGTGGGCTGGCTTGAAGGATGGGGTCTGTGGGGACAGAGTAGCCACAAGCAGCCCCAAGGGTCCTGGGCTGGGCCCTCTCCTCAGGCTGCAGGTTCTGCAAGGCACTGGACTCTGCTACTGGGACAGGAGTTTAATTCTTCTTGTGGAGGAACTTCATTTTGTTGCCTGTGGGCCAGAGGGCAGAAGTGAGAATGCTTCAAATGTCATCTCTTCCAACCTCCCCTTCGTGTCCTTCCTGCAACCCTAACCCTCTCGGTAGAAGCCTAAGGACTAGAAAGACTGGATTACAGCTGTGGCAGATCTGATCCAGGGGAGTGAAAGCACTCCAATCAGGGCACTAACTTAACCACTGTGTGGCCCTGAGCAAGCCACTTAACCTCTTTGGCCTGAATTTCACTTCAAACTAAGGCGTGCTATGATCCAGCGATCTAGCTGGCTGAGCTCCTCGAAGGGCATGGGGCTTTGCAGGAAGGGCGCTGCTCTGGCGCTGCTACTTTTGCGGACCCCTTATGGTCTGGAGGAAAGCTTAGGGCCCCAACAGCCCTCACATTCCCGTAGGAAGGAATGCACCCACAAAGAGCTGAGCTATGTGAGAATCTGCGGTTCCTCTTTGTTCTGCAATTTGGTAGATATTGTGCTAAATGCCATTGGAGCATTGGCTGGGAACACTGTCTTCACCAAGGGACCTCCTGTTCTATATACAGCCCCTTTATAAATACCCGCTGATGCTGACTGGGGGGATTCTGGGACATAGACCCCCTAGCTTCTCCCCTCTTGCTGGCCATCCATCTCATCCGTAACATGGCTACTCACCCAAACCTCGGAGAAACTTATTCATCCCACTCTGCTCAGTGTCTGGGAGTTCCTCCAAATACTGCTCCACTCGCTGCTCAAAGAGGCCTGGGAAAGAGAAGACGAGCAGGTCAGAGGACAGTCACTGGAGGGAGGGAAGGGGAGGCCTCTGACCAGGACCATGGGACACAGATGCTAAAAGAGGAAAAATCAAGCATCTGGGATTTTACTGTATTAGAACGTTGTATTAGAATTCATGCTGATGCATCAGAACTGTCATTGGTGACATCTCACAAGTGTTCGCACTGAATAGCAGGAAGACCTCCAATGCCCTGCCTCCCAGTGACAGTCCTGAGCCACCTTACAGTGATGATGCCACTCATCTCAGAGCTGCCTCGACTACATACTTCTGGCTTCTTCAGACCACTTTAAAAGCCAAAGGCAGAAACCAGGAACTCAATCCAGCTCTCCCTCATTGGCGGCAGCCATCACTGGCTGCCTTGTAGGATGTGCGTGAGCAGGAAGTTGCAATTAGAAGTGGAGCCAGGACGCAAACCCAGGCACTCCAATATGGGATGTAGGCACTGCAAGCAGCCTCTTAACCACTGTGCCAAATGCCTGTCCCTAGGGTGCTTTATGTTGTTCCAAAAAGATTTGTTACCCAAATGGATAGTTATCAGTGGACAGGAGAGATAGCCCTGGGGTTAGACAGATCTTGATGAAATGGAAAAACTAGAGTGAAGCTGATGAAATAACAAGATAATGTAATCATCTGCCTTGAATGGGGATGGCCACCAACTGAGGACAGCTTGCTCAATCCTCTCCGAGGGACTGCACAACCCCTAGGTTCTAAGAACAACCTGAAATTGCTCAGTCTGGTCCTTTGAATAAGAAGGGCATCTGAGGAGGGGATAGGCAGCCAATGATTCCCGTTCTTGGGCACATGGCACCCAGCCTGTGCCCTGCCTTGTGAGGGCATTTATTGGAATAGAAGAAAGACACTCCCTTGGAAGTTTTTTGTTTTTGTTTTTTTTTTGTTTGTTTGTTTGTTTTTGTTTTTGTTTTTTTGACAGGCAGAGTGGACAGTGAGAGAGAGAGACAGAGAGAAAGGTCTTCCTTTGCCGTTGGTTCACCCTCCAATGGCCGCCGCGGCTGGCGTGCTGAGGCCAGCGCACTGCGCTGATCCGATGGCAGGAGCCAGGTGCTTTTCCTGGTCTCCCATGGGGTGCAGGGCCCAAGCACTTGGGCCATCCTCCACTGCACTCCCCGGCCACAGCAGAGAGCTGGCCTGGAAGAGGGGCAACCGGGACAGAAACTGGCACTCCGACCGGGACTAGAACCCGGTGTGCTGGCGCCACAAGGCGGAGGATTAGCCTAGTGAGCCGTGGCGCCGGCCTTGGAAGTTTCCATGAGAAGAAAAGGGGCGTTAAGAGGCCTAGCTGGGGCCAGCACTGTGGCGTAGCAGGTGAAGCCACCACCTGCAGTGCTGGCATCCCATATGGGCGCTGGTTCGAGTCCCAGCTGCTCCACTTCCAATCCAGCTCTCTGCTGTGGCCTGGAAAAGCAGTAGAAAATGGCCCAAGTCCTTGGGCCCCTGCACCTGTGTGGGAGATCTGAAAACTGCTCCTAGCTTCGGATCGACACAGGTCTGGCCATTGTGGCCAACTGGAGAGTGAACCAGCGGATGGAAGACCACCCTCCCTCCCTTCCTCCTTCTCTCTCTCTCTCTCTCCCTCCCTCCCTCCCACCCACTCTCTCTCTCTCTCTGCCTCTCCTTTTGTTTGTATGTAACTCTTTCAAATAGATAAATAAATCTTAAAAAAAAAAAAAAGAGGCCTGGCCCTCCATGATACCCTGCAGCTTCCATCATAGAGCCCACTTAATCAGGCCTGTGGGTGGCAAAAAAAGTGGAAAGAAGGCCCGAAGCTCCCCACCTGAGCCCCCTGGCCTTACCCTTTGCACGGCACTTCCTCAGCTCCCTGTCTTGGATGAAGCCAGCAAACATCTGCGACTCCATAAAAACCTCAAGAAAACGCCGGATGCTCTTGGAGGCCACAGACTTGCGGAAGGCCTCGCGCTGAAAGGCCCGCTCCCCCTTCTCACTCTGTGTCAGAAAGAGGGAGTAGTGCCCGACGGTCTCCACAAAGAACCGGATGAACACCTCCGACACCAGCCCATTGAGGGTATTACATTCTGAGAAGGAAAAGAGAATCTCTGAGGTTCAGGTCAAGGGTTTGCAAGGCATCCCCAGTCCCTGGCAGCACAGCCTCCCTCTTCCCAAGAAAACTTCCTGCTGGCACCGCTCATCTGTTCTTGAAACTCTGACTCTCGTGCTCATGGGCGTGGAACAAGCCCATGAGCTCCCGGGGCTTGCAAACTCTGAACACGGAAGCTGGCAAATCCCTGCCAGGAGAATGAAACAGAAGATCAGGGCCCCACTGTCCCCACACCCCTCACCCTAAGTGACGGACCTGGCCTCCCAGGAAAAGGAGGTGTTCTCCATCTCCCAGTGGCCTGAGACAAGGCCTGAGAGGGAGGATCAGTTAGCAAGAAGGGTCACAGGGGATGCCACCTTTTGGCTCTTCCTTCCCAAACCTGGGATAGGAGGTACTAGAGTGAGTTCCCACACCTGGGCCCTCGGCAGCTAGAGAGGGTCTGGTGCACAGAAACAAGGCCAGACTGAGAGCAGAAGCTGTCGGCCCAGAGCCGAGTCCACCCAGGCACGCCTCCCTCACCATCGTCAGAGTCGCTGTCCGAGTCCTGGGAGATTAGTTCGTTCTTCCTCTCTAGAGCCTGCTCCAGAGCCGCCTGTAACTTCCTAGGTAACAATGTGTCCTCATCATCCATCTGCAGGAGAAATGATGATAATCACAGTGGACACGGATGAGCATTTGCTAGCTGCTAAGCCCTTTTAGAAGCGCTTAAATACATAATCCCATTTCATTCTCCTAATAGCCCTGATACTATTATCAACTTCATTTTAAGATGAGAAAACTGAGGCACAGGTGGCCAGGGCCAGCCAGGGGTTCTTATTCCAACACCCTCATGGAGTCTCCCCAGTGCCTGCACTGTCAGCTCCCCAGAGGCTGTGGCCCGGCCTGTGTCTTGGGGACGAGGTTAGGCTGCCCTTCAACTCAGCACCTTGCACCCCACGGTCCTTAGCCGTGTCAGTGGTGTGTACCCAGAGTCCACTCCCAGAGGGGCTGGCACTGGGCTGTGCTCCTCTGTAGAGAGCCAGGAGGATTTCCATGACTGACCGAACTTTTGTAGTTGACAACAGTCACTGCCAAGCAGTTGTTTATGTCACCACCCCCTAGCCATGTTCCACATTTCATACACATGTTATCAGCATTACTGCTTTAGAGATGAGAGCCCTGGTTCAGAGAAATTCAGAGACCTGTCCAAGACCACATGGCTCAAAGATGGCGGAGGCCAGAGGTCAAGTCTGGACTTCCAGGCCATGTTCTTGCATTCCCACACTGCCTCCCAGAAGCTGACAATGCCAGAGGCTGACAGTCCAACCAGAAGGGCGGATCCTGTTGAAGTGAAGGGTCCTGAGGCCCTGTGGATTCTGTGAGTATGGAACCCAGAGTGTGAAGATGGTGTAGAGCACCTGGCGGCCTGGGTCTCCTGAGCACCCACCCTAGGGCAGGTGTGCCACACTCACCTGTCGGATGAATCGGTCTGATCCCAGATTCACCATCAGTGCCTGAGAAAAGGAGTCATTAGCAGCGAGATTTGGGATATGAGTCCTGTAGTGTCCTCTCCCAGGCCTCTGCACCTCCCAGGTCCCCCAGGCCAGACAGCAAGATTAACTGCCTGCCGTCAAGGAAAGACCTCCCAGGGAGAGCAGTCCAGAGGCCACAAATAAATCCCAGCAGCCTCTCTGCCTTCCCCCACTACCCTTCCCTCCCAGGATTTCTCTCCCACCCTTCCTCTCCTCTCTACCCCCACCCCCAGCTGGGTCCCAGGCGGCCCACCTCCTCCACAGGTAGCTCCTTCAGTTTGGGCAGGGAGCTGGAGAGCAGGCCAACCAGGAAGGGGGTGGGACAGCACACGATGTCAATCATGGAGGCCGGGAGAACAGGAATGAAGGTATGCTGCCAGGAGAAGGGGTAGAGCAAGGCCACCACAGCATGGGAACAGCTGGACAGGGTACTGGTGGACAGAGAGAGACACAGCACCTGAACCCAGGCCCAGCACCTCCGGGGAAGGGTGGTCGCAGCTTGCTGGGGGCTGAGGACATCCTCGGATGCTAAACCCTCTAGTGCAACAAAAATACCAATGGGGCTCAAGGGGTCCAGGTCAGACCCCGTGGAATGGTGAAGCCCCCAGGTGCCCAGTGCTCAAGGCCTCAAGGACACTCTCACTACCCTGTTTGGGGACTCAACTTACAAACATGAAGGCATGCCACAACACCAGAGCACACAAGAGACTCACTCGCATATCCCCAAGGGCAGCCGGGATGCACAGAGGCCATGGGGTGGGAGGACCAGCTCAGGGAGCACAGAGGGTCAAATAGGCAGGTCACTGCACCAACTTCACATTTCACAGCTGGGGTGAGCGACACCCAGGCTAGCTGGGTTGTAAGTGGCAGAGCTGGAACACACCAGCCTGGCTGTCTCCTGGCCCAGGGTTACTTCTGTTCTGTCCTCTCACTTTCCACTCATTTGTCTCCTAGCTGAAAATAGTGCTGAGTGAGGAGGGAGTGCAGAGAGATCAGAAGGTGAGGCGGCCAATACCCTCCTTGTCTGGCTGAGAAGCCCAGCCTATCTGCTCTCTCAGGCTCCAAAGTAGCTGCAGGTCTAGAGGGGGTCACCGGTCTGGCTGCTGAGGGGAAGGACCAAAGGGACACAGGGAGAACAATCCTTATAGTGCCAGCCAGGATGGCCAGAAGTGGGCGTGTGCCCCCTGTGTGCTGAAGGCTCGAGTGGTGCCAGGGAATGCAGGAGACGTGCCTGCCCTGGCCCCTCAGTCAGGGGCAGAGTCCAGCCCTCTCTTAGGGACCATAATACGGCTGAGGGCACAGAGGCACAGAGCCCAGCTCCTTTTCCAGCCTGCCTTTCCTACCGCATGTGTGGGCCCCACCATCAACCACGAAAGCCCTGGGTGCTGCCTGCACAGCTCCAGCAGGGGGTTCTCGTGTGTGAGAGAACACGGGTCCCTTCCATGGCAGAATAAACCTTCTTTTCTTAAGGGACTTCTGGAGTGTTCCCAAGTGCTTGTCAGCCAGTGCCTCGCCTGGCTGTCCTGCCACCTCACAGACACCTGAAATAGTGCTGGGCCTGGACAAGAGACACAGGTGCCCTGGCCCGGATGGTCCCTCCCCAGGGGACAGCAGCTCCCCACACTCCTAGGACAGTGGTCTGAATAAGACCCTGGGAAGGGCTCTCTCAGAGTGGGGACACACTGCTCTCCACAATCCCTGCCACAGGTCCGGGACTAGGGAGACACAAGCTTGGGACAACTCCTGGAGCAAATGAGTAGGGGGACTAGTCCCTCACCTCTACCACAACCACACACATCCGAACAAGGAAAGAGGAACAAAGGGCTTGTGGAGAACCTCAGACACAAGCCACAGAACCCAGGCTGGCTGGACCCACCCCGGCCCCCTCCCCTGTGCCATGCTCTGGCCACCTGTCCCACCTCTCTTGGGTTTCAGGCAGACCCCAGGTAGGGTGCATAGGTTTTTTAAGAGCCAAGCCTGGCAGGACTCGAATGCTGAGCAGGCCAAGAACAGCAGCCTGGGGTATTTTCCTCCCAGAATGGTCTGGAATGTGCTCAGAGGCAGCTGCAACCACAGGCAACAATGGCTGTATTCACAGCCCTACAGGAGCTGAGTTGGGGATGGGGTGGGGTGGAGGGGTGGCAAAGAAAAAGCTGAGCCGGGAGCGGGCTGGGTGGACCCCTCTGGAAAAGAAACCTGTGGTGCAAGCTCTGTTAGGGGCTTTACTGGCTGACCATTAACATGGCTGGCAGAGGCAGCAGGCAGGGCCCACTGGGGACGCCATAGCCCAGTAGTGCCAGTTGCTGGGTCCTTTCACTAGGGACTCAAGGAAACATCTAGAACCATGGGACTCAGAGGCACTGAGGCTGTGATGGGAACAAGTGAGGGGCAGCTTCGTTCCTGAACCTTGGCCTCTCTGGAAAAACTAGAAGCTCTGGTTTTACTTCCTCCCTCCTTCCCCCAGGCTGAGGGTAGCCCTGGGCTTCTGCCCCAGTGCCCCATTAGAGCAAACAGGGGTTCACGCCTTGTCCCCACCAGGGGAATAAAAAATGACCGCAGGATGAAGTAGGAAGAGGACTTTTTCTCTAGTGCCCTCTTCTCTGCAGTGACACAGCATGGCATGTAGCAGGGAGCTTAACTCCTGTCTAAATGACTGAATTAATTCCACCAAGTTAGAGAAACCGCTGCTTGGGATGGATTCTTGGACAAAGAGAGACGTGTCATCAAGAGCCCATCTCTTCTCGCCTGTCCCACTCCTCACACAGTCCCCCCCCACCATTTTTTTTAAGTTCTCGACTGCCGAGAATAGCTCTAACTTCTTCCATCATTTCTGCCAGGCATCCCATGGCCATTACCAGCCTCCTCAGCACCTCCACTTCTGAAACCATAAATGCAGACATTCAGCCCAGCATTTGTTGTCTGCCTAGCTCTTTTCTTATCCCTCCTAAACCAGCTCCCCTACCGCTCTGGCACCTCCAGTCCCGACACTGTTTTCCCAGCTTGCTGGCCAAGCTTCCTGCAGCTGCACCCTCAACACCCCCCGCCCCCATCCTCCTTCACCCCTCCCTGAGGGCCCCGGCTCAGTCCCATCAGCGGCCTTCTCCCGGCCACACCTGAACTGGTCCCTCACTGGATGGGTCAGCGCTTCTCAGAGGAATTCATCCTCGACTTTGTCTCTCTTCCCAAACTCTACAGACCACAAAGATGGCCTTGCCTTCCCCTCCAGAGGAAACACAGCCAGCAGCCAGGAACCTCAATTTCTTATCTTTTTCCATAGCGAGACACCCACACCTGCACAATCTTGGCCACTGCAAAGGAAGAAGCATCCTTCTTCTCCCTTCAGGCCAAGTCCTCCACTGGGTTCTCAATCCTGCCATCTTGTATGGTGCCAGGCCCTGCCCCCTCAGCCATGCCCTCTGCCCCAGTGTGCCAACCTTTCCCTCTCCCTCTGGTCTTTATCTTTTTACACACAAACATACACACACACACACACACACACACACGCAGAAGCATATTCCACACACTAATACCAAGGTATGTGGCACACGGCAGGGCGCGTAACCATTGTTGAATTAATCCATGGGTGTGTCTTCCCCCTCTTCTCCTTTGCCCTGCTGGGCCCTACCTGAGCTTATCTGCCACAAAAATGACCCGTCGCTCCAGCAGCAGTGAGGCAAAGATTCGGATGAGCTGGCGCACGCTGAGGCAGGTAAAAAGGCACTCAAAGTCCACATGCTCCAGCCGGGAGTCCATGGGCCGCCGCAGCTCTAACACCTGCAGGAGAGCCACAGGCAAAGTGGGGCCCTGCACAAAGCATCCAGAGGCTGCTTTCCTTCCCAGCCCTGGCCGAGGGTCCCTGTTCTGCCCCACTGTGCAACAGGAGCAAGGCTCTGCTTCTCAGACCACAGCTCTGCCCCACACCCATTAAACACCAGTTTGGAAGGCGAGGGGGCTACCTGTGACAGTGAGGAGGCTCCCGGAGGAAGCAGCTGAGGGGCCGTCCATCACATCTCAGGAAGGGGAGGAGAGCCCACCACTCATGCAGATAAGGAGGAGGAGGGAGCCACACAGCCTCATCTGCAGGGCCCTCCTCACCCTCCTGTCTATCTCCCCAAGCTGACCAGACCCCACAGCTGGCCACTGCTCTCCAGGCCACAGGAAGAGCAACACCTCTGCATCCCAGAACTGTATGCCCAGCCATCTCTGGATGGGGAGCGCTGCTCATCCTTGTTGCCATGTCCCCTCCCTTTCCTGCTAGAAAAGAGCTTCCTTCCAGAAGTTATGTTTATCCTGCCATCCTGGCCCTTATCTCCATCACCCTAAGTCCTGTACCAGGGACAAAGAAAACACAAGGAAAGGGCTGGCCATTCCTCAGTCTTGCCAGGAAGCAAGACTATCTTTATCAGGGCCAGGCCTAGCTCTCTTCCCTCCAAAGGCTGCTCCCAAGGTCAATGCTATAGCACCAACAGCCACTTCTCTGGGCGCAGTCATGGGGGTGGGAGAATAGCAACCGATCCCAGCGGTGAGAGGAGGAGCTGCAGGCACTCAGGCTGTGTGCAGGCAGCTGTCACTGAGCCCTGCTTAGCCCCCTTCCAGCTCCTCAGCATCTGAGAACTGGGGTGAGAAACAAGTGCCCCATCACATCAGACGCTTTGGCCCCACAGCATCTCATTTTCCCTTGGGATCTAAGTGAAGAAATTCTAACTCCCAGCTCACTATTGATCCCTCTAGGCTCCAGAGAAGCAGCACAATGGGCCCAAAATACTGCATGGCTCTTCCCGAACTGCTTCTCCTGCAGACAGAGAATGCCTGGGAGACTGAGCAACTACCACGATGCTGGGCACGCCCCCAACGAGGTGGACATGGGCTGATGGAATGCCACAGCACAATCACATCGAGGCCTCTGCATCCTCTCTGGGCCCTATCCCCACCGCAGAGGTCACGGGAAGCTCCCTGACCCTTCCTCCTAAGAGCCCTGCTGGCAGCCCAACAAACCCTGCTCTGCAGCACCCAGCCCCACACTGCCACTGCCCTTCAGGTCCAGCTGTCCGGGGACAGAGTTCACACAGGCTGCTTGAAGGCCCTGGGCCTCTTCTCATTCACCCATGCCCTCAAGGAGATCACAGCCCCGTGGGGCTCAAGGAGCCGGAACTGTCCAGCCCTGAGGAGGACAGGCCAGAGGAAGGGTGTAGTGGACACCTGCACAGGGGCTGGGAGGCACTTAGGAAGGGCGGCCAACACGCGGGCTCGGGCAAGCATCCCAGCGCACAAGATGCCTGACTTGATTCCCCAAAGAGAAGAGAGGGCAGTGCCTCTGAGCAAAGGGAAACGGGGCTCAGGGAGTGCCTGAGTGATGAGAAATGAGGCTGGCGAGGCAGCTGGGACCAGATCCTGAGGGACTCTCAGGACAGGGCAGCTGTCCACCTCTATACCACATGAGGATGGGGAAAAGAGAGTAAGAGAAAGGCCCCAAGTGGATCTGCCACTGCCCAGCAAGCCCAATACACTTCTCTGGGCAGCTCCTCTCCCACTCTTTGCAACAACTGATTTATTTCTGCTTCACTGCTCTGAGAATCTAACTCCTGCCTATTACTCTCATTGAGACAACCAAAGCGGGGCTGGCGCCATGGCTCACTTGGGTAATCCTCTACCTTGTGGCGCCAGCATCCCATATGGCACCAGGTTCTGGTCCTGGTTGCTCCTCTTCCAGTCCAGCTCTCTGCTGTGGCCCGGGAAGGCAGTGGAGGATGGGCCAGGTCTTTGGGCCCTGCACCCGCATGGGAGACCAGGAGAAGCACCTGGCTCCTGGTTTCGGATCAGCACAGCAACGGCCGTAGCGACCATTTGGGGAGTGAACCAACAGAAAGAAGACCTTTCTCTCTGTCTCTCTCTCTCTCTCACTGTCTATAACTCTGCCTGTCAAATAATAAACAAACAAACAAACAAAAAAGAGACAACCAAAGCCATCAGATGATGGCCACCACCCCTTCCTTCTCTCCCAGTTAGAGTCAATTCCTCCGTGGCGCCCACCCTGTGCCTTCTCAGTGGCAGCTGACTACCCCTCCCTCTCCTGCACCCTAAGCTCTTCCTCTGGGGCCATGTCCAGTAGCCATCTTTAGCAAACTCTCCCTGGCTCCATGTTTCCTTCACCTCACACTCCCCTCCCTGTTTCTGTTCACAGCCAAGGGACCTGAAAGATGGCGACCAGGGCTGTTTCCCCTTCTCACCCGCATTCACATCTCAACTCATCCCACGAAGGCCCCACCTCCCCTGTCAAGGCAGCCGGCAGTCCCTCAGCCTGACCACGCCTTCTTGAGGCTCCTGCTTTCCCTGGCTTCTGAGCACGGGCCCCTGAGGCGGCTGCTACATCCTCTACTACAGTGCCTCTGCTTATGGGGTTCCTCGGGCCTGAGGAGGACTCCACTCTGGGCTCCTTTCCTTTCCCTACCTACACTTGTGTCTACTAAATATCTCCTCTTAGGTGTCTCAGGGATGTCTCAAACTTAACATGTATAAGGCTGAATGAGCTTCCCCCTCCTCATCTGCTCCTGCTTCCGGGGCTCCCACCTCAGGACATGGCTTCCTCATTAACCTGCGGCTCAAGCCAGGAAACTGGGAGTCAACCTTAAAACCGTGGTTACAGTTATTCCCTACCTCCAATCAGACACAAAATTCTGTCACTCCTAGCTCTAAAATACATCTTCATTCCATCTACTTCTCTTTCCCTTCTGCTACGCCTTAGTCATCTACTTGCTACTGTCATCTCTTGCCTGTACCACAGCAGCAGTATCTTAGCCGGTCTCCCTGTTCTTATTCCAAGCCATTATCTATGAAGCAGCCAGAGCCAGCTTTTAAAAACATGTATCAGATCTTATCGTAATGCTGTTAGGATAAAATCCAAAATCCTCAACTTGGCTCAGCAGGAACACGGTGACTCGGGCCTTGCCTGCCTCCCTACCCTGCTCAGCGTCCTTCCACCATCTCGGCCTCTTCTCAGTCCCTTCACCAGCGCACACTCCCTTCCAGCTTTTGCCTTTGCATTTGCTGCTCCCTCCACTGGGAACATCTCCTATCCACACTCTTTCAGCCTCCTTCCACCACCTCCTTTCCTTGTCCTTGCCTCCTATTCAACTGGTAAAATGCCTTCTCCTTGGACATTCCCTGTCACTTTCTCAGAGGTCTTCCCTGACCGTCTAGTCTAAAGCAGGTCTCTCAGCACATACGCTTGGGGTGGGGGTGGTCCTGTTCCTTTATTTCACTGTTAACACATTCAGGAATTGCCCTTATACAGAGAGAGAAGTATTTAACATTAGTGTGCCCCTCTAGACCAGGAGTGGGGAGCGTCTGGCCTGTGGGCCGGGTAAGGCCCATGAAACCATTTGGTCTGGCCCTGCCAAGGCAACTGCAGGTAGGACTTGAAATTCAATTTATCTACAGCACGCTCATTTTTAAGTTGATAATGTTGTATGGCCCACAGATGAAGTTATAAATATCCACATGGCCCTTGGCAGAAAAAAGGCTTCCCACCATTGCTGCAGACCAAACCCCACAAGAACAGAGCTGGTCCCTCTTTAGCTTTATGACTCTGCCCCAAGGTCTGCCACAACCCCTGGTTGTGAGAGGAGCACCTATTCAGAGATATTTGAGTCAACAAAAGGAAAGCAGGTGGAATGCGGTTTAGCCCAATCAGGAAAGCCCCTCAGAGAAGCAAGAGCTGGCAACATTTCCAGTCCCTGTTGACCAGGTGTGCGGACATGCGGGCAAGGAGGGGGCTGTGCTCTGCACCTCCCTGCAACTGCACCCTCAGCTGGCGCCCGAGAGAAGAGGTAGCAGAAATCCCTACCTCATTGCCAGCCCCTGGCAGGAATGTCTTCACTTTGATGGTCTTGCCTGGAGCTGGGAAGGGCGACTCCATGAGACTTCTCATGAAGGGATAGACCAAGGCAGCGGAGATCCCACGCCGGCGCTCCACCTCATCCAGCACCTGTGCCCATCAGCAGCAGCCAAAGAAGGGAGGGCGTCAGGGCGCTGCATCTCCTCACCTCTCGGGAGAAGAGAGGGCAGCCTAGCATCTGGTGAGGCTGGGCCAGAGGCTGGGAGATGAGAGGACTGGCTGGCCAGGATCTTCACACCTGAGCAGCACCCCGTGACTGCTCTGCTCCCCAGCTGGCCTGGCTTCAGTCTCCAAAGGCAGAGCAGTCAAGCACAGGAGATATCATCTGAGAGCTCCCCAGGACACACCTGGCTTCCCCAAGGACTCTGGCTTTGCCCATGGCCAGAGTGGGCTGTGACATGAGCAGACATTGCCAACTCAGGAGCTGGGGAAATGCCAGCCAGCCAGGTAGGGAGCCAGGCTTGGGAATACGGAGGGAAACAGAGCTCACTTGTACTTGCTCCTGCATTCTCTTTCTGCTCACTCTCACACACAGGTGGTTTTCTCATCTAAGCTGCCTGCAGACTCCTGCGGGAGCTGTCAGCTGATGGGGTGGTGGGGGAGGGAAGCAGGCCAGAGCCTCTTACCTTGGAAAACAAGCCGAAGCAGCCAAGGCGGCTGATGACACAGTACACCTCTGGCAACCGAGGCCCTTTCCCACTTGGCTGGGCCGGGATGGGCGGGAGAGAGAGAGAGACAGACACAGAGAAGGCATGATTACCATATCTGGCTCCTTTTCCTTGGGAACTGAGGACTAAGGACTACTCTGCTAGTGGAGGAAGGCTCCAAGCCTCTTCTAAACTCAATCAGGCCCCCAAAGGAAAGGCACAGGCTTCGACTTCCATTGGGTCTCCAGCCCAGTTGCCCAGGCCCCTGCAAAGCTCCCCACTGGTTTCCCTGTCCTCCCAGGAGAGGGCTGGTAAAAGAAGCAGCAGTCTGACAGAGCTACAGGGCGTCACGGATTTGGATCCCTAAGGCTAGGACCTCAGCAGACGTGACCGTGATGAGGATTTGTGTACATTCTTTGGACCAAGTCGTGTGGTCTTGTGCCCTCCACAGGGGAAGAGTCTATAAAATATCCCCTTTCTCAGTTGCTTTTTCCCCCTTCTCTGATCCAACCCCAGTCTAAGAGGGCAAACTGAAAACAGACAAGGTAACAGAATTACTATTCACAAGTTTACTACATCTGAGTCCTGGGTTTGGTAATTTACAAAAACAAAAAGCCAAACAAAAAACCGAATGACAGACATTATTATCCCCATCTTACAGACAAGGCAACTGAGTTTAAAAAATTCTAAGCTGTTGTCTGAGGTCATGGATCTGGAAGCCATGGTCATGGAGGCAGGAGTCTGTTTTGGCCTCTGCTTTTGCAGTCTGGCCTCCAAGCAGGCTGCTCTCTGATAGGAAGGAAGGGAAAGGGACACAAAAACACAGGACAGAGGGATGCTACGGAGTACAGAACAGTGGGAAAAAAGGATGGAAAACGTGGGCAGCTGGAGGTGTTGTCTACAGTGGGCTGCCGAGGCCTGGAGACCTCAAGTGTAGGCTGGGTGAATCCACTGGAGTACTCTCTCCACAAAGGGGCTGGGGCGGGGGGGAGGAGGGCGCCTAGAGGCCCAGCAAGGCTGAGTGGGGAGCGAGCAGAGCAGCAGGTGCTGGCCCCTCATGCAGGCTGCTAAGCAAATGCAGATGGGGCTATTTCAGTCTCCAAACCTGCTGGCCACACGTCACGAATCTAAAGAGAAGGCAGAAATCTGTTTTTGTCCATATTAGGCCTGAAACGCACTTCTCTCTCTTTCCCTCTCCCCCGCCTCTCCCAAAGCCCAAGTGATTAAATCAAGTATGTGGGATTTGGGTTAGAATCATTGTGTCCAATCTGCAGGAATGCCGAGCTAGTGCCAGCCCCCTTGGCAGGGACCCAGCCCAGGCCTTCTCTGACAGCGCCAGGACAAACACGCTCCTCCCTGGGGGCAGCAGGCCCACTGCAAAGGAGCAGCTCCTCTCCATCGCTGCCCAGGGAAGGCAGCATTGGGAATGCGCTCCTCTGCAGGCCCCGGGGACCCGACGCACGCTGGCCTCTGCTCTGCTCCCCATCGGCATCTGGGGCCGCTCCACGTTCCCTTGGCTGCATGGACTGGGCATTCTATATTCCTTTCTCCTCGGACCAGCGTTTATGCTATTGGTAATAAAGGACTTGAAGTCAGTGCTGACTCTGTCCCTCACCGGTTGTGTGACCTTGGGCAAGTCACTGCACCTCTGAGTCTCAATTCCCTGATTCACAGATTGGGGAAAATAAAACCCTTTGGGCTACTGTGAGAAATAAAGGAAAGATACACTTGAACATCTTGCCTGAAACATGATAGGCCTTTTACAGAAGTTTACTCTCTACCCTTCCCTTCTCTGCTCAAAGTCCTACCTCCTCCACATGGCCACTGGAAGTTCCTTGAGGGTGGGATCTGTGGTGAACTCATCCTAACGTGCCTTCAGCGTGGGGCCTGACCCTCAGCAGGAGTTGTGTTCCTGAATGAATGAATCTGTGACTCAGAATCCTTCTTTTAGAGTTCCTGTCATACATTACACCTGCCTAGGATTCTCCTTATCTACCCCTAGTCTGGTGTCTGGAGAGGTCTTCTTGCACTAGGACCTGGAAGCCCTAAAACACCATCAACCAGCCAGGGCCCTCCAGGGGAGAGTGCAACAGGGCTGCACCCTCCCCCAGCTCTGGGACTCAACCTCCATCTATTTTCTAGGGAAGCGAGATGAAGAAGGACTCTCTCCTCACAAAATAGCTTTATATTCAAAACTGAATCCCTTTCCCTTAAGTTCAAGGTGTCTCTCCCAGAATCCCCGAGAAGGTACTTGTCTGTCCCTGCTCAGCCTCCAACCTTGTGAGACCAAGGACAGGTCTCCTCCTCAGATCAGGCTGGCCAGCTATGGAGGTGAGGAAGATCATCTGCCAATCTGGTGCATAAATACATACTGCTGGGGTGGTAGGATCCTGCAGCCAGAGCCCATGATCCCAAAGAAGATGAATGAAAAGTATAGAAAGGTTAAAAAGATATGATAACCCAGCAGAAGTTGATCCACTCCTTCCTCTTACTGGAAATACTCTTGGATCCTGGGGGCCAACCTGAAGGGTCACTGGATGGCCGCAGGGAGCAGAACACGGGATTTCACAAAAGTTGACGTTGCAGAAGGGTGTGCACACGTGCGCGCGCACACACACACACACCCTGGTCTGGCCCCGAGGACCCAATGGGACAGCTCACCAGTAAGCGCCTGCAGTAGCCAAAGCGTCTGCTGCCGTCTTCTCCGGTTAGCACGAAAGAAAAGGTCTCACTGGAACAGGGAGAGGCCTGGAATCAGGGAGGTCTCAGAGGACCCGGGAAGCAGTCCCAAGAATAGGAACTGTAACCTCAGGGGTCGGATGAAGACCAGGTTGCTGTAGGAGAGTGGGCTGGGACTTGGGTAGGCCCCACTCAGTTGCCCACCACTGTGGAGGTCTGAAGGCTAAGCCCCTCCCTCCATCCAGCCAGGCCAGGCCAGATCTTACCTGCTGTACTCGGACACAGGCAGCCAATCCTTGGCATCTGGGAAGCAAAACTGGGGAATGGCTTTGAGCCTTTCCTCTGCCTCCCGCATCTGCTTGGTGGGTCGGTCCAGCTGCAGAGAAGAGGAACGTGGGCAGGGGTGACCGAAAGATCACCTGAAACCTAGGGCAAAGGTACAGTCTCCTCCCAGGAACCCCAGATACATCCCGCCATGCTTCTCAGCCACCCTTCCCACTCCTGCTTCTCACGCAGGTCTGAGTGTGAGTGGAGTCATCACTCATTCATTCAGTGAGTGCCTACTGAGCACTTAGATATGGCATCTGACACTGGACTGTGCGCTGCAGGTATCAGCAGCAAACAAAGCAGACAAGGTCCCAGACCCTGCTCCTTCTGGTCAGGAGTGGGGGAAACAGCAACAGCATTTCACAGGAGCCACAACGGAAATGAACAGGCTGATGTGACAGAGAGGACTGGGCAGGACAGGGGCTACGTTCAGGCATTAGGAAAGACATCCCGAGACAGGCACTGCTTGAGCAGAGAATGCAAATAAGGAAGAGCCAGCAGCCCCATGAATAGCTCGAGAAAGAACACTCCAGGCAGAGGCAATGGCAGAGAGAGAGAGAGAAAGGCCAGGCTGGCTGGTGATGAACACAGGAGGATTGTTAAGAGATAAGGTAGGGGCTGGCATTGTGGAGTAGAGGGTTAAGCTGCTGCTTGTGATGCCTGCATCCTTTATGGTCTCCAGTTCAAGTCCCAGCTGTTCTACTTCCCATCCAGCTCTTTGTTAATGCACCTGGGAAAACAGTGGAAGATGGCCCAAGTACTTGGGCCCCTGCACCCACATGGGAGACCCGGAAGAAGCTCCTGGCTCCTGGTTTCAGCCTGGCCCAGTACTGGCCACTGAAGCCATTTGGGGAGTGAACCAGCAGGTGGAAGACCTCTTTGTCTGTCCCTCCCTCTGTAACTCTGCCTTTCAAAAAATAAAATAAATCCTTATAAAAAATAAAAAGAAAGAAAGAAAGATAAGGTAGGTAGGAGAAAGGGTGAGTGACTACTCACGGGTACTGGGTTTATTTTAGGGATGATAAAAATGTGAAATTGATTACAGTGCCAATATACTACAAACCACTGAATTTTAAACGTTAAGTGGGCAAGCTGTAGAGTTTGTGATTTCCATCTCAATAAAGTGGTGAAGATGGGAGAAGTAGCTGGGGCCCTTCCCCTGGACCCTACAGTCCTTGGAAACAACCTGGATTTTATGGGAAGCACACCAACAGGTGCTTTCAAGCCCTCCTCCTCAGAAAGAGCGCCGGCCTACACCTCCCATTCCATTTGCCCTTCCACTGGGAGGAGGCAGGCTCAGGGATCTATGGGAGGTGGGTGAGCAGCTGGGACAGAGGGGCCTGGCAGAGGAGGGAGGGTGGGGTGGGGAGAGGTGGCCTCACCTTGGGAAACTGGTAGGAGACCTCCGGGAGGTAGGTGTTTCGCGATGGCTTCTTCCTGAGGGACACCACCACAAAGTACTCAAAGAGCTCCCGTTCCTGCCACTCAAGCAGTTCCAGCTCCAGGGTCCGATAGCTGGGCGCGCGTTTCAGCATCGACTGGATGTGGACCAGGCGCTGCGTGTGGGCTGGGGGCAGGTCATACATCAGGGGACAAGCAGGCTGGCCCTCTCAGGACTCACATGAGCCCCCTCTACCCTGACCCATGGCCTTCTCTCTGTGGATCACCTCTAAGCATGTGAACCTCATGTGACCCCATCCCCCAGCCAGGTCCTTACCCAGGACGCCAATAGCCTGGCCCTCTGGAGCTGCTGAGGGCTGAGCCAGGGCCACAAGGACTGCCCAGGGCAGGAAAGCCCAGGGATGAGTCATTGGCACCTACCCTATCCCAGTGCCAATAGAGCCAGATAATATGAACACCTGTGAAAGCTTCATTCAAGGGCTCCTATCAGAGTCCCTGACCTTGGGCCCCTCCCCTCTGCCCCCCAGTTCAAAGCCCACTTGCCCACTTGCCTAGGGACCAGTAGAGGAGGGAGCAAGCTCCCACATTAATCATCCAGAAAGGTCCAGACAGGGCTTCCTGGCAGACACATGTCCGGAGCCCATGGAACGTGAAGGTTGCAGAACTTTTCCGGGGAGGGGGCCATCTCTTCTATAGGGATGGGTGACAGGTGGCCTCAGGGCCTCCACAGGACCAGTTTCCTCAGTCTGCAGAATGGGTGATTTTAATCTGAGCCCATCTCCGACCCTCTAGGTTTACACTGGCCAAGCAAGCTGAGCACCCAATTCCCAGGGTCACTTGCCTTCACTTTGGCAAAGGGAGACAGGTGAGTTTAACTTTGTAGGGCTGAGCTCACACATCTGTAAGAAGGGACTTCCCTACAGCTAGCTCTCTGTTCTGTAGGCCTGGTACCTTGCCTGTTGCTGTTCCACACTGGAACTGCACACACAGCGGAAGGGCAGGCTGACTCCCTGCAGCCAAAGCTGGGAAGGGGTTGCACGGTCTTGGGGAGCCAGGCCTCACCTTTGAACCTGTCGTCAGAGTCGCTCTCGCTCTCGCTATTCTCATCTGGAAAAGCAACAGCAGGAGTGCACACAGATGAGCCACTGCCCACAGCCTGTGTCCTCTGTGTCCCTCCCAACTCTTCTCAAAGGGATGGATCTGTACCCGGCCTGGGCTGCCACGGGCCCACGCTCAGGCATCTGTGGGCAGGGGCTGAGTGAGCTGGGGCCAGGATCCCTCAGAGCTCAGCCTGTGGGTGCTACTCTATATAGAAACCCTTATCCAGGCCTGATCTGGTGGGGAGCTGAGCCAGCAGGGGGGCCTACAGGCCTGGAACACAAGAGCCTTGCCTCTGGGAGGCCAGCATATGAAATGGGAAACAGACCACTGTGCTCAGTAAGCCTGGCCTCTCCTTTCGCCAGAAGCAGAGTTCCACACCCACCTCCCTACCCGAGGCCCCATCGCCTAACGCCTGAAGGAACTCATCCCAGAGCTTTCTTCCCCTTCTTGCCCTCCCTCCTGTGTGGCTATTTTCTGGAACGGCTCCACCCTCCTGGATGGCAGAAGGACCCTAGGTCTGGCTCACGGAAACAGAGACTGAGGCCGGTGCACGCCACTCCCCTTTCCTAATGCTCCAGGGCCCTAGACACCTGAACCAGGTCAGGCATTAAGGCCTACCTCTCAGCGACGCTGTCTCAATGCTGGACATAGAGAGCTTTTTTAACCTCTTCTTTCCCCTCTTGGCACTGTAGATGGAGTTAATTCTCTGAACAAGCTGTGTGAGAAAAGTAGGGAGGGTAAGGAAACCCTGACACCGGCTGCTCCAGCTAGGTAGATTTGCCCATCCTTTCCCTCACTTACTGGTGCCAGTTTTCTGCAACCCACTCCAATGGGCCTAACACTGGTCCTCCTACTGAGCTGTCTGCCATGCCTGGTAGCCCTTCATCTGCCTGGTCCCCTAGGAGTTGTCTCCTGCCCCAAGACAAGGACACTAAACTTAGCTCCCCAGAGGAAGGAACTGTGATCAAACTAGACAGGATGGGAGCTCCTGGGACTCGGGAGTCATTGAACCAACTGAGACAAAGAGCTTCTCAGATGCAATAACAGGAACAAGGATTGTAGCCTTTCCCCTCTGGCCCATAACCTGGGGCCCTGACAGGAAGAAGCTAAATTCCCAATATACCCAAGCATTGTTTGCAGGCTATAAATACCACTTGGCGAAATCCTGCTGCTTTGGGCTGGGGGCTTGGACCTGGCTGCCCATGTGTGCAAATCATTGCTGAAACTCTTCGATTCTAGGAGTCACAGAAAGGAAGAGCATGGCTGAGTCCTAGCTCCCTGAAAGCCTGGACATGTGTGTGTGTGCACAAAGACTCCAACATTTATACACTGCACATGCTAACAAGGAGTCTCCGCCAGTCCTTCCTCCTTCCTCTAATGTCTAAGTACCAACAGTGAGTTGATGCATCTTTATTGATAAGAAAAGGGAATTAACCAGATGAAAAAGAGGCCAGTGCATGGACCTCCACTTCACTCAAAAGGAATTGAGGAAGAGCACAGATTAGCGGGGGACGGAAGGAAGGGGCCGGAGGAGCAAGCTGGCTGGCTGACTGCCCACCTGCCCAGTCCCTGTGGGCTCCCTCTAGGAGGCTACCTTGGGAATGCGGCGGGCGCGGCGGCTGGACAGTAGCTCGCTGGTGGTGCTGAGGCTGTCCTCATTGAAGCTGGAGGGTGAAGACGGCAGGCTCAGCTGAGCCAGCAGCAGCATGTCGTCATGGCTGTGTCTCTTGGGTAATCGTGGCAGCCGGTGGCTCTTCCTTTCTGACCAGTTCCCACTGCGCAGGGACTGGCTGCTGGGTTTCAGGGAGAGCTGGCATGGGAAAGAGGATGCGACAGAGGAGCTAGCCATGGATACCTTCACCAGAACCCTCAGCTGGGACTCGGACACAACCATGGGCTGGCAATCCCTGGCACCCTCACATCCTGCCCTGGATCCCCACTGACCACGGTTTCCTCTTTTAAGACCTGAGCTGTTAATCAGGGCTTCTCCAAAAAAGAAGCTACTTATGCCAGAAAGAGAGACAGCAGAGGCTTAGAACCTGTGCTCTCACCTGAGTGGAGACCAAAGGCGAGCGGGAATTCTGAGGGCTCCTCCTCAACTCTGAGACAAGGAGTCCTGAGCCCAGACAGTGGAGCTGTCCTGAAAGATTCTGGCTAGCGGAGGCCATCACTCACCTGCCAGCCTGCTTGTCTGGGTGATCCAGGCAGCCTGGCCTGGCTCACTTCTTCCAGGGAGAGCACAAGGACTCTGCGCTCTTGGCAAAGCAGATACTGGGCAGGGCAGGCCCATACTCAAATGGCCCCCTGACCACGAGGTCCTGGGCTGTCCCCAGCCCCAGCCCTCAACCATTTTCTGTCTCCCATGACTCTACTTGTGGTGGGTCCCGCTCACTGCTGGGCAGGCAGGCAATCCCTGCAGATGCCCACACACTGTCTGGATCTGCAAATGCCTCACCTCACTCGGCAGCAAATCCTGCTTCCTTCCCAGCCCCCAATATCCTCTTTCCACCCCTCAGTCTGGTGGATACACTTTCAAGGAAAGCCTATTTAAAGTCTTTCATTTTTTAAAATTTTTTGTATGAGCAAATCAAGATTTGTTTAAGTCAGAAACCTCCTGCTGCAGAGTCAGGAGGGGGGTTGTCCGAGAGAGGAAGACCCCGCCTGTTTCAATTCTAACAAAGGGTAAATCTTTTATAAAAGCCATCACAGTATTCCAAAGGCATCAGAAATAATTTTCATATATTCTGACCATTGTAATAAACTATCCAAGGCCCTCATCCACACGGAAAATTAGAATTACTTCCTTCTGCCTCCTGTCACACTGGACAAAACCAGAATGAACTGAAATCCCCAAGCCTTCTCTGACATTTCCTTTTATTCTGCCTGGCTCAGTCCATATCCCACAGATTCAGACGCCCTCACAGAACAGTGGCTCCAGGTGTTGGAGACACCTGTTTGGTTCTCCAAATCTGGCTTGGGGCCTACAGCCAGTCGCCAACTGCTGACGCTGAGATAATTTCTGAGTTGCAGAATACCAACCAGAGCCCTGTCTTCCTGCTGCTCACAGAGGGGGAGAAGCAGTAATGAGACAGGAGGTACAGGGGCTCCTGGCTTAGCTGTACAGCTCAGAGCTCAGGTAGGAGCACAAGCAGATGGAACAGGATGCCCCTAAGAGCACGTCTCGACTGTCCACATGGCAGAAGTCCCTGAGTCCACAGCTCTTTCCTGAGGTGGCCTCGTCTGCCACCTGGTGAGGGAGAAAGCCAGAGTGGAAGCTGGGCCTACGTCTGAGCACACAGGCCCCGACAAGGCCCTCATGCGGACCCAAGCGGCCCACGTCAGGACTGCATTACCTGTGTGGGTGGATTGTACTTCCTGTCCTGAGGACTCCACATCCTGTGCAAAGAGTCCAGCGAGTTCTCAGACAGCTGCTGGGATTTTCGGGCTCTTCGGCTCTTTAAGTCCACATCCTCATACGGATTCTCCTTGGGCAGATCTCCTGCAGAGGAGGAAGAGTTAGAGAAGGGGGAGAAAGGAAGAAGGAAACACAAGGGCGCGTGTGCATACACACACACACGCACACACGCACACAAATAAACAAGCAGAATTCTTCTGAACCAAAGAGAATGGCTTCTGCCTGGCCCCTGCAGCTCATGAGTCATGCAGCTGCCCGTCTGCAGTGGGAAGGCTACAAACGACTCCTGGCTCCAAGTCCAGGAGCTGAGCGCCCCCACCTCCAGTTGAGCTCAGCTCAGCCTTGTCTGGCCTCTGCTTTATAAATTCAGGGATTGCACAAGACTGGCTCAGCCACCCCTGCCTGTGCCCAGCGGGAGGACAAAGCCGACCCCGGGAGCCTTTACTTGGCTCCAGTCCCTCTGCTGCTGACGCCCCAGAGACAGGGAGCTCAAGGCAGGAACGGTGTTCAGAGGTCACACGGCTGGCCCTCTTCCAGCTCTCTGTGGGCTCTCAGTGGGGTCCCACTTCTGAAGGTAGGCAGGCAGGAATTCAAAGACCTCTAGGGAACAGGGCTTGACTAGGCCTCCCTGTCACCTGTGTCACTGTTCAATATGTCCTTTAGGGCAGAGATTTTGTCCTGTTCAGGCAACCCCGGAACCAGAACAGTGCTTAGCAAGTAGCTTGTGCTCAGTAACTACTTGTTCAATGAATCTGGCTACAGTGTCAGTCTATTTCAGCTGCAGCTGAACTCAGCAACCAGAGAACCATCCCAACTCCCCTTTTAGAATAAACTCTCCTGCTGTGACACACGAAGGTGTGAAAGGCTTGGAAGGAGTCTGGGCCAAGGAGCGGGGGTGGGGAGAGTTCCTGCTCTCCTAAAATTCCTGGCAGTGGGCACTGTATTGGCACCACCAGAAAACCTCAGAAAAGTCCACCACACCATGCTTGCCCTCACAGAGCAGGAAGATTTTGAGGGACATCCCTCCCACAGGCTATACCCTCCTGCCCTTTCCCCTCCACCATATACCTAGACTTCTCTAAAACACAGCCAACCATGAGCCAGTCCAGTCCTGGATCAGCCCTGGCAGCAGAACCAAGGTGGCGACGAGGCCCACGGGGACCCTGAGTGAACAGAGCCCTCTGCTTCCCTCGCCCTTGTTTTTCCATATCCTTCCCCCAGTTCCAGCATCGCTGTTCCGGACTTGGGACCTGGGTACCAGTGACAGAATGAGGCTCTGCTGAGGTGAGCAAAGCTGGCGAGAGAGGCAGGCAGGTAGCCTCTCTCCCTTCAGCGGCAGAACTCAGGTTGTGCGTGATCACTGAGCCCCACAGCGGCCTACAGAGACCTGGCTGTGCCCTGCAACCCAGGGGAGTTTAGATCCCACTCCTCAGGGAGCAGGCAGAATAGCAAGCTGTAGGGCTGGAGAATAAACAAGGCTGCTCAGAGTGTCAGCTTTCCTAGATAGGGTGCTGAAGAAAAGCTAATCCCTGTATGCTTCCAGATTCCTCAATTTCCTAAGATGAGGTTCCCCCAAATTACGGCATCTTACTACTGCCATAGAAAACCACGATGAATTTAGGAAATGCCTTCACAGAGGGAGGGATCAGTCCCAGCCAGATAGACTGCAGTGGGGGCCATACAGATCTCTGTAAACGTATGAGTCAAAGTTGGGTTGGGAAAGGATTTGGGGCTGGATTAAGTGATTCCCAACACCAAGCAGAGTCCCCAGCAATGCAGCAGACTTTCCTCTAACAGTCATGCTATTAAAATGACTGGTCTGCATTGCAGGCCCTGCCTTAAGAAGCCAAGGATGAAACCTGGCATTCCCTGCAGGTTTTCTCTGGCCCACCCCACTGCAGGGCACTCAGGGAGGAACTGATGGATTCCCTCCTTCTTGGTTCCTCGCCAACACACATCCTGCAGGGGTGAGGTGGAGAGGGGGATTAAGAATGGGAGAAGGCTGTGACTGTCTTCTCGATCTTGGAAAGCAGGACTAGAGCCGCAGCATTCAGCTCGCAGTAGGGAGAACATTTATTCTAGGAGCATCAAATCTGAACAGCTTTGGGCTGCAAGACCAGCCAGAGTCCTTGTCATCGTTCCACAACCCCGCGGGAAGACCGGTCTCAATCCCTCTAGATCAGGGTTTCTCCAAACTTTGGACATTTGGGCTCAGATAATGCTTGCTGTGGTGGACTGTCTTGTCCACCCAACATGCTAGCTGACATTAGCATTTCCTCAGCTGTAACAACCACACATGTCTGCAGACACTGACAAGTGCCCCCTTCGGGACAGATCCAAGGACAGGAAGGAGGCAGAAAGGACAGAAAGAAGGAAAAAGGCAGGCAGGCATTGCCTCCTACTAGCAACCACTGCTTTCGATAGATATTTCCAAACTCCCTAACAGCTCTGAGCACTCTGACATGAGTGCCAAGGATAACCCTTTGTTCTTCTACCCTTCTCTCTGTCCCTTCTTCTTGCTCCTTCCTTCATTTCCCAGAATCAGAGTTTGTTTCTTTTTTTTTTTTTTAAAGATTTACTTATTTATTTGAAAGTCAGAGATGAGAGGCAGAGAGACAGAGACAGAGACAGAGAGAGAGAGAGAGAGAGAGAGAAAGAGAAAAGTCTTCCATCCATTGGTTCACTCCCCAAATGACCGCAACTGCCGGAGCTGCACTAATCCGAAGCCAGGAGTCAGGAGCTTCTTCCCGGTCTCCCGTGCCGGTGCAGGGGCCCAAGGACTTGGGGGGTCATCTTCTACTGCTTTCCCAGGCCATAGCAGAGAGCTGAAAAGGAAGTGGAGCAGCCGGGTCTTGAACTGGCGCCTGCTGGCGCTTCAGGCCACAGTGCCAGCCCCAGAATCAGAATTTTTAAATACTAATACAAAATCTACAGCTCCAGGAAAAAGATGCAGGACACTGAGGCCCAGAGAAGACAGAAATGTCCAGCTTTGCTGTCTATCAGTGACCACCCGGGAGCAAAACAGCTGGAAATACCATGTTCCCAAGGCCAGTCTTGCCTCCCTCAAGGAACCCGATTTCAGGAGGGTCTCAAGTGCCAGCTCCTCCTATTCAGACCTAATGCCAGCCTCTTCTTTCTCCAGCAATATTTAACACCTCTCTGATGTAACCAAGCCATTAATCACTCCTCCAGGAACTGATGCTGGCGTCAGCCCCAGCCTGGACCCTCACAGACCTATTCCACCCACCCCACCCCCAGCTTCCGAGGCCATTCCTGACCACCCTATGGAGCTGTCTCTCAGATACCTCTCCAGGCAGTAAGGGTGCCCATGGGGTGAGGATGTGTAGAGGCCAAGCAGATTCTGAGTCCTAGAGCCACTAAATAAAACCTGCTGGAGGAAATGAACACCAAAGCAATGGCTCAGAGTGGGGAGAGAGGAAAGCTGGCAACCGGACTCAGAATCGCCTATTGGGGAACAGAGCTCCAAGAAGGCTGAACAAGCTGGAGCCAAGTGGAGAAGCACAGTGACAGTTTAGCAGGGGCATGGAGGGGAGACAGGAAGCTTGGCAGACTGTAAGACTTTCACCTGAATTCCTGACCACACAGCTTCCTCAGAATAGTCTGTCCCACAGCCTCTTCCCAGGAGGCCTGGCCATCTCATCCAGCCCAGCAGGGGAAGCCAGAGGTCTCAACCTTTCCCAGCTTTGCTGATGAGATAAGGGGCAAGGGCATCACCAAGAATGTCAGCTTTGCACTCTTCTGTGAGGCATGTCAGGGCCCAAACAGCCTGGGATCCTCCCACTGGGCCCTGCCCCCACTCCTCCCCATCACTGCTGGTAACCACACAGCAACACCCTCTCACACACCCCCCCCCATCCCTACCCCACAACTGGAAGAACCAGTTAGGGAAGGAAAGAGAGAGAGAGCAAGAGAGAGAGAGCGAGAGAGCAGAGAGCGAGAGAGCGAGAGAGAGTGCTGAGAATTTCTCCAAAGGAGTCCCAGCTTCCTGGGCCACACCCATGGCTAGGGCCTAGGGTCTGCAGCTTCCCTCCCTGGGACTCTAGTTCCAATCAGCTGCTTGCTGTCCTGGTTCTCAGTCTTTCCTCCCCCCTCACACAGCGGAGAATGAGCCAGGGTCAGGGCCCAACTCCCCTGGGCCAGCTGTCACCCACCCTCCAAGCCTTGACCCCATTTCCCAACAGCCCCGGCCCCCTTCCCTGGGCGGCACCTCTTAGCAGCTTGGTTTCCTGCGGCAACCTCCATCCTGGTAGATACCCTCCTGTGCCTGACTGTTCCCCAGCCTGGGGGTGAGGGAGAGAAGAAAGCAGAGAGTGGAAGCTTGACAGGCTTTGCAGTACACTGGCCCGGTCCCCGGTTTGCATCCCACGAAAGTTCCTGGAAACTCTCCGTCAGCCTGAGCTAGCTGATGGGAGTGGGAATCTCTGCAGGAATGCAGCTCAGGCTCCTTGGTCAGGCGCCGAGGCCACTCCACATAACTCCCTAAAAATGCTGCACATTTTTAAGTGTCAGGCTCAGAATGCAAGTCTAAGGCTTAGCAGGATAGCCACATCTTCAAGGGCAGATGTCAGATTAGACACGCGAGAATTAACAGCCCCAGGAAGCAGGAAGCAGCAAGACAGCAACTTTCTTTCGAACCCCTCCCATTGCAAATTGGCAGGATAAATCTCAGTTTGTTTGGAAGGATCCCCCATGCCCAGCACCCCAGGCACCATGTCCAGTGTGGGCAGGGGGCCAGCAAACTCCCCAAATCCACTGCTGACATGGATGACATGTTAGCCTCAGGACCCACCAGCCCTCAGCCTCCAAGAGCCAAGGAATGGCAGGACGATCAGCTGGTGGTCAGGGCAGAGACTCAGCCTGGGCGCTCTCTGCCTCCCCCTTGGCCCCACTGTCACTTGCCCCAGCAAAGCTCCGTTTGTCCCTGTGAAAGTGAAGCAGCACGGGGCTGGGCAATCTAGCCGGCTTCATCTCACAGAGCGCAGGCCGGGCCAGGACAGGAAGTGCTCCGCGGAAGTCAGGGCCACTGGTCCTTTGGAGCCCATCAAGCGGAGAACACCTGAAGCCTCTGGGGCCGGGGGAGGGACTCCACATTCTGGGGCCTGTCTCCAGGGGAAGGATAAAGACGTAAATTGACTGGAACTTACTAGAGAGAATCTTCTCCCTTGTGTTTCCCTCAAGCCTCCCTGGTCAGCCCTTAAGAGATTCAAAATGCTGTTGGGGGTCCAATGAAGGAAGGAAAACCCCAGGGCACTGTCCTTACTTTAGACTCTCAAAGCCTACCTCCAAGGCCCAAACAGGGGCCTGGGTCACCTCCTACCTTCTTCCAACACCCTCCCCACCTAGCTTCTCTGCGCAACGTCCCAGGCATCCAGAAACAAGAACACTGAAGGAGATGCCCCAACTCCAGCTGCACCCCCCAAAGCCCTAGCTCATCCACCCAAGAAGCATCCAAGTCCCGCCTGTGTTTCCTTGCCTCCTCGGGCAACAGCCGGAGCGGGAGAAAAGTCCTCTCTGAGGAGTGGAGGAACAGGCCCAGCCACAGCTGCCTGCTCTTCCCCTTCTAACCTGACTGAAACAGGCCCAGGGAACAGCTCTGTGGCCGAGGACACTGCCTCCAACATCCCTCCCTAGACACCGACCCAAACAGCAGGAAACAGGGTCACAGACGGTCAACTCCAGGCTAGGAGAAGCAGCTCCAGTCTTTTTCTCTACTTCAGTTCAACTGATGCAAGAACACACCCTCACCTGAAACCCCTGAGCAGTGGCGCAGGGCTGCCCAGGTTCTGCTAGAGAAAGGGGCCCCGTGAGGACCACAGCCTGCAGGGCCTGCAATAATGGGGGAACAGCAGAAGCAGCCCTCTCTGGCCACTGTGGCAGCCATGCTAGTTGCTCCCAAGAGCCCTGGGCAGCCACAACACATCACAATTCCTACCAAAGCAGAGAAAACTGGAATGTATCTCGCAAAGGGAGAGGGCAGAGAGGATGGAGCAGCAGAATTGCTGCTTCATTCACTGGAGAAGACTTTCTTCCACTTTGGGACATTGCACGAGGCGGCAAGAAACACAGGGGCAGCCTGGATGCTTCTCGGGTGGATGAGCTAGAGGTAGGGGTAAGGGCTTCATGGGGTAAAGCTGCGGTTGGGGCATCTTCCTTAACTGCTCCCTCGCTTCTCAGTCTTTGGCTCTGATGCACACAGCTCTTGACCTCAGCTCTGGGAGACCTGTGATACAAAGCTGTCTTTTCCCAGTGGTAAAGGGAAAGGCTCCACCCCACTCTTTTGCTGTCTTAGGCCTCTCACTCCCACAGCTGCCTACCCTCCATTCCCAGGAGAGCAGGCTCTCCCTCTGTGTGGGTCTGGGCATGGCTGCTGTCTCCCCAGAAGGCTGGCCCAGCAGCTGTGAGGAGAAAACCAGGGCAGGAAGGCTCACAGCCAGTGAGGGACCAAATGGTCCCCTCTTCACAGGATCCCAGTCTTGTGACAATCCGCAGCATTCTCTCTACCGAGGCTGCTTCTCTCTCTAACGTGCTAAGACCACGTCCTCTAGCTTCAGGGCCTAAGACAGACACGCAGCAAGCCAATAGGCAATCACTCTGCTTCTCTCCTCTTCACTGAGACAGATAACTTTATTTGAGCAGAACCGAAACCCCCACTGAAGAGGATGAGGGCAGAACTATGAGGAATGCCAGGGCTGCCATCTGGCCCAGCAGTTAAGATGCCAGTTAGAACACCCACGATCCACACCAGAGTATCTAGATTCGATCCCCAGATCTGGCTCCTGATTCCAGCTTCCTGTTAAGGTAAACCCTGCGAGGCAGTCGTGATGGCACAGCTGGGTTCCTGCCACCAACATGTGCCAGCTCCCAGCTTCAGCCTGGCCCAGCCACCAACCCCCCACCCCCACCCACAGGCTATTGCAGACATTTGGGGAGTGAATCAGCATGTGGAAAATCTTTCACTCTGTCTCTCTAATAAACTATTAAGAATTTTTAGAAAAGATTTATTAACTTATTTGAAAGGCAGAGTTAGAAAGAGAGAGGCAGAGAGGGTAGGAGAGAGGTCTTCCAACTACTAGATCTCTCCCAAAATGGCTACAACAGCCAGGGCTGGGTCAAGCAGAAGCCAGGAGCTTCATCTGGGTCTCCCAGACCTGTACATGAGTACAGGAGCCCAAGCACTGGGGCTATCCTTCGCCGCTTTCCCAGGTGCATTAACAGGGAGCTGGATCAGAAGTGGAACAGCAGGGTCTCAAACCAGCACCCATATAAGATGCCGGTGCTGTAGGCACTAATAATTTTTTTAAAGACAAAATAACCAAGCTAAGACCCTCAAACTCAAGTTTGCTAACAGCATGTCCCCCTACTTGTTGAATGACAGCTGTCCATGGGGTCTTGCACTTCAGTCAGAAGAATGGACTGCTCCAAACTGTATTCTCAAGGATGTTTCTGGAGTGAGAAGCCTTGGAAGACAGGCAGATTTGCTTCCTGGCCAGAACGATGAAGATGCTATCTCCTTTTAGGGCAAAGGTTGGGCAGGCCGGGCTCCTCAGCTGGGACATGGCCACAGTGTGCACAGCCTCTCCTCAGCCTCTGCCACACCACCCAGTGAGACTTGTGAGCAAGGATAACCCATGTGTCCATGAAGCTCACGCTGCCTGGTGTGCTGCTATAAAGCCTATGTAACCCACGGGTGTTGTCCCCTGTCAGCATCTGTGAAGTGGGGGTAATGACACTTGTCAACATGCGCTTTAGACAGAATGTCCTTCCAGAATTCACATGTTGAGACCTAACCACTGTTAGGTATCTGTATCTGTAGGTGGGGTTTCTGGGAAGTAATTAAGTCAGGCAGGCAGAGCCTCACAAAGCTCTAAAAAAGGGACCCCAGAGAACTCCTTTGCCCTTTCGACCTCATGGCTTCCTTTGAACCAGGAAGCAGGCCCTCACCAGACATGGGACCTGCCAGCTCCTTACTCTTCCCTTATTTAACCCTAGCAACCTTCGAAGCGTTACTTTTATTGCTGCTAGCATTAGTGTCCCCAGAGAGCCCTGGCACCAGGTAGGTGCTTTGCCAAGGACACACAGTTAAGGAAGAGTGCACCTTTTGGACTGCCAGCCTCCAATAAGAAAAGGAAGGTTACAGTCTCCCCTTCATGTGCTCCCCTTCGGAGCCCAGCTCATTCAAGGGCCAGGCTGTAGTCACTCGCTGCCTGCTCTTTGCTGAGGGGCCTCCTCGGATGCCCATTTCCAGAAGGAGCTCCCAAAGCTGGGACCACGTCTGCCCACAGGGAATCAGGCGAAACTGGGGGGTGTCTCCCCGTGTACCTGTTCTGCTGCCCCCAGGACCTCTGCCACTGCTTACCCACAATGTCTTCATAGGCATTTTCTTCTAAAGTGCTTTTGGATCCAAACTTGGGTTGGCTCTCAGTACCATTCTCAGTGGGAGAAGAGGGGTACAGGGACTGGAGACTGGATGCATCCTCAAACTCAAAGGATTTTCTGTGGATAACAAGAGCAAGAGTCATTCCCGCTGAGCAGATCCCTGCAGCCCTGCTGGGGAATGACCATGGTGACAGTGAAGCTCAGAGGCCCTCCTCACCAACCAAGCCACTGAGAAAGGCATCAGGGTGGATCCGAACACCCAAAGAAAGCGATGATCTCAAGGGCCCACGCCCAGGGCCCTGTGATGGACCTTATCCCTAGTAACACCAGGAAAGCAGGTCAGAGGCTGTGTGGAATGTCCCTTCCCAGGCATTATCTCATTCATCTTCACAAAGGTGCGACCAGGTATTGTGCCATTTTTCAGATGAGGAGATTTAAGTGACAGGTGGGACGCCCCAGGCTACAACTCCAGGGCTCGATCTTTTATGAGTGGTTTGTTGAAACAGGCAGGGCAGAGCCCTCAAAACAGAACAGACCACTTCTGAGGGGGACTGCAGGTAAATCTGCAGCCAGAAGCCACTTCTAGGGCCCTGCTTTGCTTCAGCTAGGGGCTGCTCCTTATCACTGCCCCAGTCACCTCCTCTGGTACTCCAGAAGTTCAGGACCACAGTACTGCCTACTCATGAAAAGATACTGCCCTCATTGGCGACTCCTCGCCCTCGCCAAGGCAGACCCAGCAGGCCCCTGGGGAGGGAGAGGGGGAAGAGCACTGACTGATCCCTCCTTTCACCTGCTGACACCTCCTCCGTCAGTCCTTCCTCTCCTGTTTACTCAACAGCTCCTGAGGGTCCTGGGGCGCAAGTCAAGGACCAGAAGTGTCCAGACACTTCGTGTTCTCCACACGCTGAGCTCTCTACACCAGCACTCCCCGCCCTCACCTCCATTTTGCAGCTGTCTCTCTGGAAGTGATTTTTCAGACCCTTGTGAGGGATTCTTCTTTTCCACTTGCCTTTTAAGTCCCAGGCTCTCAAGAGTTCTGTCTTTAGGACTTTTTTTTTTTTTTTTTTGTCTTGCTCTATACTTTTCAGGGGCCAAATACCCATGGGCCATCTACTATGTATTCCTTGATGATTCCCCAATACATGCCTTTAGCCCAGAATTGTCAAAAGTAGTTAAATATCCAATAGTTCTGAAATGTTGGCCCATGGTCTGCTGCTGGTGTGAGACCAAGTTTTCATTGGCATACACAGTGGAGTCAGCATCTCATGCAGGTAGTTCTCACATCAGCAAAAAGACACAAATAACAGTCAGCCAAATTATCCTTGGCCATCTCCCAGGAAGGTATCACACTGAGGACTGATCTGCTGTCTTTCATCAAGATTAATACAGTCTCTCCTCCAGATTTTTTAAACAGATTTCTTTTTCTTTAGTTGAATACCAAAAGACATATTTGGCTTGCATTTTTTAAAGTGAAAAAGGATATTAAATATAAAGCCACACCCAGCACAACAGTTAGGAGTGTGGGTCTCCTCACCTCTAGTGAGCACGCCCACATGTGGAAAGGCAAACAGCACAGCGCCCACACTATCTGAACTCCAAGGGCACAGATAACGCTTGCTATGTGAATTTTAATAGGAAGTGACTCCACCACAGATGGGGTTTGTGGGGCGTGCATATTATACACAAATGTAATGTGTACGAGAATGAGTGTAAACCCTTCAAGCTGATGAATCCTCTCCATACACCGTTTAGTCACCAAGCTAACTGCTCTGCTCATGCAAACTTTTGAGCTCAGCACCCTCCTCTATGAGGAGCCTTCCCTCCCTCTCACATCTGATCTGGAGCCTCTCCTCTGGGTCTCTGTGGCCTCCAGCGTGGACACGGTCATGGCATGTATCACAGTATCTGTGATTTATCTGTGCATCAGACCATGAAGTCCTTCAAAGGAAGAACCACGTCTTACTTGCCTATGTCCTCCCGACCAGCACAAGGCTTGGTGCACTGCAGGCTCTGGACGGTGTTTACAGAAATGGATGAGCAAACGACAAAGCAAACACTCTTGAAAGGCTGTTAAAGCATTAAAGGGCCAGTGAGCATTTGGGGTGGGGGTCAGGGTCAAAGCACTGATTACCCCTTAGCTAAGGGCTCTTCTGGCCCAGAGGCTTGAACCTTCAGGACTTCTTCCTTTCTGCACATGGCAGGAAAGTTTATCTATATGTTGGATTATGACGGATGAAACCTGGAATATGAAAACAGACTGCAGAACACCTAGAAATGAAGCAAACCTAAAGGCCCATCTGACTTTGGGTTAGACAAGAAGGCAGGTGGCATGAAGACAGGTCTTCTACAGAGGCTGGCTCCCAGCCTGTCAGCCATCCCCAAGTCTAGCAGCTCCAGAACCCACGTCACTCTGGGAAGAAAGCCCTCAGAGTCCAGGGCTGGAAACACAAGGCTGATTAGTAAACCAGAGGGAGGCTTGGAACAAGTCATTCTTGGAGATGACCAAGAAGCGGGTGAATTGTTCTTTCAGTCTCCTTTTTCAGGATCCAATGATGCCCTCAATACAGGCCACGGTCCCTGTATAGCCAGGAAACCCTCAGGAAAGAGGAACTCCTATTAAATTTGCCAACACTACCATGTTAAATGTAGTATTCAGATAATGCATTGCTTGGAGAAATAATTTTCTAGTGGCGGTGCCTCAGGCAGTAGTGAGGCTAAGCTCCCCTGAGACTGCAAGAGAGTGTTTACCTAAAAGTAAGGGGGCTCTGACCCTCCCATGGAGGACCAAGGAAGTTGACGGGGCTGGGGGCTCAATCCAGGCTCCACTCCAAAGACACACTCAGTCCCTATCTTCAGGGAGAAGAGCTTTCACCCAGCTCACATTCAGCTTTCCTGTATGAGCAGCACAATCGTCTCATTTTCACCACCACAACTACCACCTAACAGGTGCTGAGTGCTTATAAAGCACTCATAAAGCACTTATAAAGCACCACGGACTGTGACCCACGGTGAATTTCTTTTGCATCCGCCACCGAAAGGAAAGCCACCGTGCCCAGCTGTAAGGCGCAGGAGGGGCATGTGTTACCTGCTCTGGGACTTGCGGTGACCGCGCATGTCCTTCTTAGGTCTCCGGGTGACTGGAGGGGCTGGGGTGGAGGGCAAAGGGGGTGGAGCAGCAGGTGTGGGCGAAGGAGGTAGACCATTGCTTGGCTTACTCTTGGGGTTCTTGTCAGCCTCATATTCAAAGGTGCGCTTGGGTTTGGGGACAGGGTTCACAGCGGGATCAGGGGAGCTCTTCGACGGCGGCAGCAGCTGGGAGCCAGGGCTATTTCCAGGGGTCCCTGGCTTGGCGGAACCACTGCCTTCCCTTTCTAGGGGTGGGCCTGCCTCCCCCCCAGCTCCTGCCACTCCTACTGCCCGGCTGCCGGTGCTCCCACTCCCGCTCCCTGTATGCTCTCCCAGGGCGCCCAAGGTTCCAGTCTTCCTTTTCCCTCGGTCTACACTGTAGCAGCTGCTGGGCAGCTGGGGGAGTCCCCGGCCCGGCTGCTCCTTCAGAGCCTGCTCAATTTTCTGGATCTGGCTCAGCACTGCTGAGCTCTCTTTCCTGCTGCCATGCCCCCTGAGGAAGGCACTGGGCTCGCTCCGGCCTGGCCGCTTCTCCAGCCGGTAGGAAGAGTCCCGGACAGGGAGGGCCTCTCCCTCCTCCTCGGTCTCAGGGTAGGAGCACTCGGAGAAGGTCCTGCTCATCCTCCGGAGGCCCTTGAAGTCAAAAGTCTTCTCTGAGCTGCAGGGGGACGGCACCACGCTGGGGCAGCCCTCACTGACCGCCCACTCGCCGCCAGAGCCCTCCCGCTTCTCCCCACACATGCTCATCCTGGGAGAGGCCTCGCGGCGACCTTCCCATGCTGATATCTTCTCCCGGATGCCCAGGTTGTGGGCACGGGGGCCAGTGCGGGTCAGCAAGACGCTCCGTGGGCCAGGCCCTAGGAATGGAGTGCTCTGGGCAAGGGGGAGGCAAGCAGCTACTCCCTCTACATCCTGGGCTGCGCCTTGCACACTCCCCTTTCGGTCTTCTCTCTTGCACACCGAAGGGCTTCTGTCCAAGTAACCGAAGCTGGTGGCCTTGAGGGGATAGCTGGGTGGTGACGTGTCTGGGGAGGGATCCTGAGGACTTTGGGGTGAAGGATCGTGGGGGTGCCAGTCCTTGATGAGCACCCTGGAGCTGACGTGGCTGGGGTACCTGCAGGCTGAGGTTTCACTATCGCTGAGGGGGTAGATGGGACTCCGCGGTGGGGAGAGAACTGGAGGTGGAGAGACTGACTGAGACCTAGGGACAAACAAAACAAAACAAAAGAGGCAAATGGCAGTGAGTGGCCCAACAACCAGAGGCATCACGTTTTATTCTCAGGAGGACTCTCAAGCTAAAAGGTACTCTGTTCAAGCAGTGCTCGCTCAAGGACAGCACAAGCTCCTGAACCACGGCAGGCCACACTGAGCAGGCCTCCTGGACGGAGCCCTACACAGGCCTCAGTGATGTCTGCGACAGATGCCCGCTCTGGAACAGGCAGGAGCATCCAAGATCCAAGAGCCCACATCTGACAACCAGCTCTCGGGAGAAAGTGCAGACTGGCAGTGCTCACCAGTTTCCGTGGTGTAAATATTCCTGCTGTGGCTGAGTGACCAAGCTGACAGCACTGGCAACGTGCTAGCAAGAGTGCTTTCGACACTCTCTCCACAAGGAGGCCAATGGCGGCTGCACCCTCTCGCAGTGGCATCACGTCTAGCAGGCATCAGCCATTTCCCAGGCCCAAATCTATATACAGATTGTACTACCTTCCAGGAGCAGCTCAAAGTAAACATTTTTACATATATTAACTCATTTAACACCCACAAAAATCCTATGAGGTTATCATTGTGTATTATCTTCATTTTTTAAAAAGACTTATTTGAAAGACAGAGTGACTAAGAGAGACAAAGAGAGAGGGAATTTATCTTCCAACTGCTGGTTCACACCCCAAATGGTCACAACAGTTGAGATGGGTCAGGCTGAAATTAGGAACCTAAACTTCTACTGGTGTCTCCCATGTGGGTGGCAGAGGTCCAAGTACATGGGCCATCTTCCACTGCTTTTCAAAGCACACTGACAGGGAGCTGGACTGGAAGTGGAGCAGCCAGGATTTGAACCAGTGCTCTGATCTGGGATGCCAGCGACATAGGCAGAAGCTTAACCTGCTGCGCCACAATACTGGCCCACCCTATTATCTTCATCTTACAGATGGAAAGCACTAATGCATAGAAAGTTTAAATACCTCATCCAAGGTCACTTGGTTGGTAAGTGGTGAAGGCAGCACATGAACTTAAACTACACCATGTTATGTCTCTAAGGAGTAAGCAGAGCCTTTGTCATCTTTGTGAACCACACAGGGCCCCCAGACATAGCCCAGTGGAAACCCCCCACAGTGCTGGGCTCACTTTTGCCTAGAACACAGCATCTGTGTCAGGGGACCTCGTGGTCTTCTCTGCTAGACCATTATTTAAAAAAAAAAATATTTATTTCTTTATTTGAAAGGCAGAGAGTTACAGAGAGGCAAAGGCAAAGAGAGAGAAGTCTTCTGCCAGTTCACTCCCCAAATAGCTGCAGTGGCCAGAGATGGGTTGATTTCTGAGCCAAGAGCCAGGAGCTTCTTCTGGTCTCTGACGTGGGTGCAGGGGCCCAAGGACTTGGGCCATCTTCTACTGCTTTCCCAGGCCACAGCAGAGAGATTGGAAGTGGAGCAGCCAGGACTGGAACCAACACTCACATGGGATGCCAGCACTGCAGGTGGCGGCTCTATCTGCTACACCACCGCACCAGCCCCTAGACCATTATTTCTTACATGGTATCTGGGAGGTTCTCAGTAAATGATGAACAAAAAAAGAAAGGAAAAGGTACAGGTGAGCTTACTGGTGAAAATCCCAAGCACACTTCCTCCTCAGCATACTCTCCTAGTTGTCTACTGGGGGTGACCACGGTCAACTCTCACAATTCTTTCCAAACAGTTTTAGTTGGAAGACAGCAAGGTTTTGCCAAACTGCAAGCTGCAAAGGCCTACCTGACCCTAATGACATGGCCCTCAACACCAGGCTGTCCAGCCTCCCAGGCTCCTGAGTGCCATGCCATTCACAGGGCAGCAGCCAGCTGCCCCTGAGCCAGGCTGCTGTCACTGCTTGCTCACACACACAGAAAACTCGAGTTCGAGTGAGTCAGGGATTGGCTGACAATTCCCTGTTGGGTCATAGCCTCTGGCTGCCCCTGATCAACAGGAAACCTCAACATGCTTAAGTTGTTTTTAAAAGGGCAAGTCAAACAAGAGCCATCCCACGTGAACACGGGCACCGATGAGAGAAATTCAGTGCCCAGCCAAGCCAATGGCCAGAGGGACTCCACTCAGTGTGGAGGTGTGAACAGAGCTCTCCCTAGGGTAGGCAGAGGCAGGGCAATGCGCCAGGCTCAAGCATGGTGAGGCCCTGATTGACACAGGCCTTAGGTCTCTCACTTCCTTTACAGAACCATAGATGCAAACGGTTACCAGTCCTGCTCCCTAAGCAAATGAGTGACGGAGCTACACAAGGGACTCTATTTCAGTTATTCTCAACTGTAAGAGAGAGAAGACATGTTTAATAAAGGCTGTGAGCCGGCGCTGCGGCTCACTAGGCTAATCCTTGGCCTTGCGGCGCCGGCACACCGGGTTCTAGTCCCGGTCGGGGCGCCGGATTCTGTCCCGGTTGCCCCTCTTCCAGGCCAGCTCTCTGCTGTGGCCAGGGAGTGCAGTGGAGGATGGCCCAAGTGCTTGGGGCCCTGCACCCCATGGGAGACCAGGATAAGTACCTGGCTCCTGCCATCGGATCAGCGCAATGCACCGGCCGCAGCGCACTGGCCGCGGCGGCCATTGGAGGGTGAACCAACAGCAAAGGAAGACCTTTCTCTCTGTCTCTGTCTCTCTCTCACTGTCCACTCTGTCCAAACAAAACAAAAAAAAAAAGGCTGTGAGTGTCTGTGATGTGCTAGGGCCCTTGTTCTGGGTGCTGGATACAGAAAATAAACCGAACAGACAAAAATTCATATCCTCACGAAGCTTAAATTCTAGTGGGAAATGACAGGCAGGCACCTTAGGAGACTAAGGTCCTCCTGGAAAGCCTTTTTGAACCACACATGCCTCACCCTCCAGATAATCTGATATGTGCTTCCCTATGGATATGTCTCCCCGACAGGAGATAAGGTGAGAACTCACCGGCCCAGGAAACCACTATTACTTCTGTGAGTATGGGACATGGCTCCCATGGATGGGAAGGAAACATGGTTGAGGACCTCTGGTCCGTTGGACTTCCACATGTTTTAAGAAACAAAAATTCTTGGGGCCAGCATCGTGGCGCAGCAGGCTAATTTTCCACCTCTGGCGCTGGCATCCCAAACAGTGTGCCGGTTCTAGTCCCGGCTGCTCTTCTTCCAACCCAGCTCTCTGCTGTGGCCTGGGAAAGCAGTAGAAGATGGCCCGAGTCCTTGGGCCCCTGCACCTACATGGGAGACTGGGAAGAAGCACCTGGCTCCTGGCTTCGGAACAGCACAGCTCTGGCCATTGCGGCCATTTGGGGGGTGAACCAACGGACAGAAGTCCTTTCTCTGTCTCTCCCTCTTACTGTCTATAACTATAACTCTCAAATAAATAAATAAATAAATAGAAATTTTTTTTAAAAAAAGAAAAAACGATTCTTTTTCTTTTTTATTTGACAGGCAGAGTTAGACAGTGCGAGAGAGAGAGACAGAGAGAAAGGTCTTCTTGCTATTGGTTCACCCCCCAAATGGCCGCTACAGCCAGAGCGCTGCGCCAATCCGAAGCCAGGAGCTTCTCCCGGTCTCCCATGCGGGTGCAGGGCCAAAGCACTTGGGCCATCCTCCATTGCCTTCCTGGGCCACAGCAGAGAGCTGGACTGGAAGAGGAGCAACCGGGACAGAACCAGCGCCCCAACCGGGACTAGAACCTGGAGTGCCAGTGCCGCAGGCGGAGGATTAGCCTAGTGAGCCACTGCGTTGGCCTGAAACAGCAATTCTTAAACCACCCTTAGTGGTGCCAGAATGGCTAAATTTCTACAGGCTTGGAAATTTCTCTCAGTGCCTGGCTTGCTTTAATTGCTTCTCTCCTCCCATGAAGGATAGAGTAGACTGGCCCTTTCCTTCTAAGTTCCTGCCTTTGGTATCACTACTGATCTGGGGCCCATGGATACAAGTGTTGCCCTTGCCCAGCCTCCCCACACAGGCCAGGCCCAATGTGCTCCAGAAACTCAAGACAGAAACAGGAGTCCATCTCTTCTGAACTGGAGCCCAGGCATCCCTGAGTTCATTAACAGAGAAGGCAGCATCCACTGATTCAAGGTCTCAGGGACAAAATGGAAACAATGCAGGTAAGGACCTGCCCTCATGAAATTGACATTCTGGGTTAAAGGTAGAAATCATTGTTATCTCTCCATAGGTTTCTTTTTCTTTCTTTTTTTTTTTTTTTTAAAGATTTATTTATTTGAGAGGTAGAATTACAGACAGACAGAGGGGGAAAGAGAGAGAGAGAGAGAGAGACAGAGAGACAGAGAGAGAGAGAGAGAGAGAGAGAGAGAGAGAGGTCTTACATCCACCGGTTCACTCCCCAAATGGCCACAACAGCCGGAGCTGAGCCAATCCGAAGCCAGGAGCCAGGAGCTTCTTCTGGGTGTCCCACATGGGTGCAGGGGCCCAAGGACTTGGGTCATCTTCCACTGCCTTCCCAGGCCATAGCAAATAGCTGGATCAGAAGAGGAGCAGCCAGGACTTGAACCAGGGCCCACATGGGATGCTGGTGCTTCAGGTAGAGGCTTAGGCCACTACGCCATGGCGCTAGTCCCATTTTTTTTTTCTTTTAATTCGTTCAGTGACCAGAGACTACACCCAAACCCTTCAGTTCAGCATCACTCTGCATTGTTAAGCAGGTGCAACACAAACAGCACTCTTCATGGACAAATGACCCTGTGTCCAGCCCCACTGTTTGGCCTGGGCACACCTACCAACTCTACCATTGTAATGATGGGATGACACATCTTTCAGATACTTGGTAGTTTTTCTGATTTGCATATCCTTAGTGGCCTGCAAAGCTTCTCTGGTGTTCTTAAGTAAACATGAAGGTTTGAATCTCTTGATTTGCATGATTTTGTGGGGTTTTCTGGGTCAAGGGAATAGCGAGCCATTTTCACACATTTCCTAAGGCCACTGACAGGAAGAGGATCTCCATATGTATCTGATTCTACCTCTTATTAGCAATGTGA